TTTGAAGAAGACATTTTGGACATCTGCTTGCAGTTGCTGGACACCAACCCCAAATTCCTCCTCAATCAAGACAAGGACTGTTCTCGACGCAACAGCCCCGTCTACATCAGCAGGGTGGTGAGCGCCATGGTAAGACCACATAGACCTTGGGCCTGCACTAAAGGAGAAAGAACAGAATGGATTTCTGGACCAGGTTCAACTGGCCCCGTCTTGACAGAGGAAATCAAATTCAGAGAGATCCTCCACCATTTCTGGTTTAAAGTTTATCTAAGATCTAACAAGGTGGACCTCCAAAAATTATTTTGTAAACTTCTTTTGTGGCAAACTTGTGTTGAGGAGTCCATAGTGCTCTCTGAGCTTCGTTGCTTTCTTGCAGACATTTCATTACCAAACTAGGGAACATCATCAGTGGTGGAAGGGATTGGGATTTGTGGAGAGGGGGAGGGGGAGGAAGAGGAGGAGGAGGAGGAGGAGGAGGAGGAGGAGGGCAGTGAGGTCCTTGATGTTGGCTGAGCTTGGTTGTTTTCTTGTAGACATTTCATGACCCAAACTAGGTAACATCACCAGTGCTAGAAGGGAGGGGGGGGTTGCTGTCAATTTACCCTACTAGAACTGATGATGTTGCCTAGTTTGGTAATGAAAGGTCTATAAGAAAACATATAAGCCCAGAGAAGACCAAGGATCCTTCAGTTCAACCCTGAGTTACAAACATTCTTTCTCTATCCAAACTTGTGTTGTTTCACACCAAGTTGTTGCTTCCTCGGCTGCAGGTGAACTGCAACGATGACAAAGGCATCCTCTTTGGACGCTGGGACAACCGCTATGACGATGGGATCAGCCCCATTACCTGGAGTGGCAGTGTGGACATTCTTCGGAGGTGGCAGAAGTACGGATGCCAACCGGTTCGATACGGGCAATGCTGGGTCTTCGCTGCAGTGGCCTGCACAGGTGAGAATCCATAACAGGTCGGATATGCTGCCCAGGTGGTCCACCATCACGGTGGTGCAGCTGGTTTGAGGGAAAACTTCAAGAGATGTTTCAAAGGTGCTTTTTGGAAAAGTCAACTGGACTTCCTTGGGTTTTTTTAAATTTGAAAACATTTCACTTCTCATCCAAGAAGCTTCTTCAGAACAACCGAGATGTTACAGATGTTACAGATTAACAGAGTTGGAAGGGACCTTAGAGGTCATCTAGTCCAACCCCCCACCCAAGCAGGAGACCCTACAGCATTTCTGACAGATGGCAGTCCAGTCTCTCCTTGAAAGCCTCCAGGGATGAAGCTCCCACAACTTCTGTTCCATGGGTTGATGGTTTTCACTGTCAGAAAATTCCTCCTTATTTCTAGGCTGAATCTCTCCTTGATCAGTTTCCATCCATTATTCCTTGCCTGGCCTATTCCATGTCTCTGGAGATTCTCCATCATCCAGGTCCTAGTTGTCTCAAAAGTGCTTTTTTCCCCCAAAAGACAACTAGACTTTCTTGGGTTTTTTCTTTGAAAACGTTTTGTTTCTCATCCAGAATGGAAGAAGCTTCTTGGATGAGAAGTGAAATGTTTTCAAAGAAAAAAATCCAAGAAGATCCAGTTGCTTTTTGAGAAAAATCATCTTTGGGACAACCAGGACCTGGACGATGGAGAATCTCCACAGACAATAAGCTCAAGAGATGTTACAGCCCAACAAATTAGACAAGATAGACGCCAATATTAATTTTTTTTAACAGTTTATTTATGCATTTTCAGTTTACATACATAAGTGTTTTATGAACAGCGTATTGTCTGGATCCATTTGCTTACATAATAATACTTTCCCAGCTCCTAATTTTTATCTATAATATCCAACCATGTAGAACAGGTCCCATGTTCGAAAATACTCTGTATCTTCTTTCTCTTTTATCTTAACGTCTATTTCTGTCCATTTCTGCACAATCCAGTATTTTTTTAATTACATTATCTTCTGTAGCCGTTTCCTCATTTTTCCAGTACTGTGCAAATACAATTCTTGCTGCTGCCGAGACATATCATATATTAAGTGTATATTCCCTTTATCATCAAACTTTTCTGCTACTATACCTAACAGAAATATTTCTGGCTTATAATCTATATCTAACTTTAACATCTTTTTCTAACCATGTATGTATTTTTGTCCAATATTTCTTTGCTTTTACACATGTCCACCACATGTGATAATAAGTACCCAGTGCCAGGATTTCTTTTATTGGAACAAGATTTACTAATCTTCTAAATTTAAATGTGGTTCCCTTCTCTGAAAAATCTTCATGTGAACTTGGAAAGAGATTATCTGGGCTGTTTCTTTCTTGGCATCTGGATTTAAGTAGCAAATATGGTGGGAATCCACAGAAATCAGGGGTTGGATTTGTTTGGTGGATTGTCCTCACGGTGGGGTCAAAAAAGTCAAGATGGCAGCCATGCCTGAGTGATCAAAGCCTTACCTCCATGTAAACGGGCAGAGTTCAATTCATCTCCTGCTTGAGCAGAGGGTTGGACTAGAAGACCTTCAAAGTCCCTTCAAACTCTGTTTGTATTCTGTAAAATCTTGATATTTTCTTTTTTGGCCACCCTGTGGTTATGCCGTTGATTATCAGATAATTCTCTTTCTTACAATTTGAGTGCAAATAAATCTACACAGGAAGTCCTCAACTTTCAACCGTTTATTTAGTGACCGTTCAAAGTTATAAGGGCACTGAAAAAATGACAGCCATGACGTGGATGATGGAGAATCTCCATAGACTTTTAACTGCAGGCACGATTTTAAAGAAATTCTTAATTTCTCTTTGATGCTGAAGTCTCCATTGCAAGGAGGAAACACAGGAGGCAGTCCTCGACTTACAACAGTTCATTTAGTGATGTTCAGACTTACAACAGCCCTCTCTCCTCCCCCCCCAAAAAAACCCCCAAAGTCAGCGACCTCCAGTCGCCTCCATCTGCAACTTTGCAGCAGGGCTGGGGTTAAAAGTGCAAGAATTTGTGTCTCATCATTCATCATTGTTGTTCTCTATTTCTGTAGAGATGTCATTATTTCTTATATCTAATGCAACCCCACTTCCCCTTTCATTTGGTCTGCTTCTTTTAAATAATTTAAATCCATTCGTGGGTTTCAATCAATCCGAACAGAGCTGGAAGGGACCTTGGAGGTCTTCTAGTCCAACCCCCTGCTCAAACAAGAGACCCTATCCCATTTCAGGCAAATGGCTGTCCAGGATCTTCTTAAAAACCTCCAGCGATGGAGCACCCACAACTTCTGGTGGCAAGCTGTTCCACTGGTTAATTGTTTTCATGGTCAGGAAATTTCTCCTTGGTTCCAGGTTGCTTCTCTCCTTGATCAGTTTCCATCCATCGTTTTGTAGGAAGTTAGCACCCACCCCTTTCCTAGAGGAATGAAATATTTTGGGAAATATTAAAAAGGCAGAATATTATGTTTCCCTGGATGAGAAATGGAGAAGCATGTTTTAAAGACAAAGCAGCTCCCATCTTCCTGCCTGCACCCTTTGTCAATGGGCCACAGGCAGAAACTCAATTCCCTCCCACCTTTGTCAATGGACCATCATCTGCAACACAATAGGACCCATCTAGCAACAGAAACTAACACAATAGGACCCATCTAGCAACAGAAACTAACACAATAGGACCCATCTAGTAACAGAAACTCACCACATGGCACCTGGGAAGATTACATCAGCCAGCAAGGCTAACTAAGACCCCCACCCCCTGGGAGTCTGACAACCAATCAGGATACTCTTTCGGGGCCCCAGGAAGTTCAGAGCCAGAGAGGGCATAAAACCCCAGAACTCGCTGTATCTCACCCTTTTCTGTTCAGGAACTCAAGCCATGTGATCCTGTCCACCATTAATCCATCTTTCCAAGCAGTCTCCATGTTTCCAGTGTCTTTTCCCCCACTTGGAGCTGAACCCAGAAGGATGTTTCTTCTTACAGTTTCTTCTCCTGCCTTCTGGTGCTTTGGAAAATAAGCTGGCCCCCTCCTCTTTGTGGCAGTCCCTCCAATACCGGAAGACTGCTATCTGGGTTTCATCCCACCAAGTTTCCGTAATGGCAACCATATCATATCTGCCCTCATTTACTTGAATTTCTAATTCACCCTGTTTATTCTCCATACTTTTGTGCGTCGGTGTATTGAGGTTTGAGTCCCTTTTCGACTGACCCAGTGTTTCACCTTGTTATCTGAGTTCTGCTACTTCCTTTCCACCTGTTTGATTACTGCACACCGTGTGGCACACGCACTCTCCAAAGTTTAGGACCGGGATGGCGAACCTATGGCACCCGTGCCACAGGTGGCACGTGGAGCCATATCGGTGGGCACACGAACTCAGCTCCGGTGCGCACGTGCGTGCTGGCCAGCTGATTTTCAGGCCTTCTGGGCCCACCAGAAGTCGGGAAACGAGCCATTTCCAGCCTCCAGGGAAGACCGTTTTTGCCCTCCCCAGGCTCCTAGAAAGTCTCTGGAGCCTGGGGAGGGTGAAAAACAGGACTACCAGGCCGTCACGTGCCAAAAGTAGGGGGAGCGCAGGTGTGTCACGCACGCAGGCACGGGTTGGGGCACGTAGAATTATGGGTGTGGGCACATGCACGGGCGACCCCCCCCCCCATGTACTTCACTCACTTTTGGCATGCAATGGCAAAAAGGTTAGTCATCACTGGTTTAGGAGATCAAAATCTCCCCAACCTCCTGGAGGCACCGAGAGAAAAGCCGGATGTTCGAGGCAGGGAAGACAAGCAGGGATGCAAATGTCAGTTTACAAACAGGCCAGCCTTAAAGGAGCTGTGAGGTCTCGCCTCTCCAATCTTCCTGAGAAAGCAGGACTCTTGAAACCGCAGCTGTTCCAAAAGGATCTTTTATGGGAGAGGTTTGTGATGACAAGAGATTTAGGCAAGAACTGGAGCTTCTCACTTACAACCAGCTATTTAGAGCAATGCTAACCAAACCCCTCCCACTTTATATCTGTCAGGGTGGCAATTTATCCCATTCTGCTTTTGGGTAATTGCACCTTGATTAGAGAATGGATCGTGACCATTTCCTTGAAGTATACTTTAAGAAAATAAACCCGAAGATATATTTTCTAAGGAAAACTCATTTATTTGTTATAAAGAAGATAAAACATCTTACTAGCTAATTAATTACATCTTGGCAAAGCTTTCCCGGCCACCTCTCCTGGCCGGAGAACAAAGAAAGATAGAAGAAAGTGAAAGAATGTGGACATGCGCAGTTAGCTTACTGATAAGAGCTTGGCAAGCGACGGTAAGTCTGAAAGTTCAAAAATAAGAGCTCATCTGGTAAATACAAAAATGCAGTGACAATATCATTGCAGGAAAATAGAAACAGAAACTACATATAGAGATTAACACAGGAATGCAAGAAACAGAAACAGAAACTTCATATAGAGACCACTCCATTCCTCCCCCCAATTCCTCCCCCCAAAATGCCATCGTCCCTGTAGAAATATCTGGGACCTGACATTTTGTTCGGCTTTCCAGGGTGAGTCTGGGGTCGGGGTAGCCTGCCAGGAAGCAGAAGAGATGCTGAACGTGGTGTTTTCTTCTCCTAGTGCTCCGGTGCCTTGGGATCCCTACTCGCGTGGTTACCAACTATAACTCTGCCCACGACACGAATGGGAACTTGATCATCGAGCAATATTTGGACGAGAATGGGAAGCTGCAGAGGGGGAACAAGGAGCTCATCTGGTGAGTGACGAGCGGGAGTGGGAAGGCCAGCAGGGGGGCTTGGGGGACAAACTGCCCCGTCCTCCTACCTCTCATCAAACTGCACTCTCTACTAGCACTGATGATGTTCCCTAGCTGGGTCATGAAATGTCTGCAAGGAAACAACCAGGCTCAGAGATCACCAAGGACCACATAGTCCTCCTCTTCTCCTTCCTTCCTTCCTTCCTTCCTTCCTTCCTTCCTTCCTTCCTTCCTCCTCATCCTCCTCACTCCCTCCTACCACTGATGATGTTCCCTAGTTGGATAATGAAACATCTGGAAGAAAACAACCCAGCTCAGAGAGCACCAGGGATCCCCAATCTTTTAATTGGCTAGCAAATACTAACACTCTTGGCTACCACAAAGCTAACACAACTCCCCTCCCACAATCCTCAGTCCTACAACTCATCCTTTTCTGCAGGAAGCCAGCCTTACAAGCTGCCCCTGCATTTCAGGACACGGAGCTGCTGGGCTCGCTTGTACAACTCCCTCTGTCCTGTCTGCACTGCAGGCGAGACAGGGTGACTCAGCCCTGCGACACCCAAGCCCCTTTCCCCCCCCCCCGCCCCCGTTTCCTCCCCCCCCCCTCCCACCTCCCCTCCCCCTTTTTTTTGCCCCCCCCCCCCCCCGGTCAGAATGCAGAAAAGCATTAATTTTTTTTCCAGATGTCTGATTGCTAATCTCCCAGTCCATAATTTTTAATTTCTCTTTCAAGAGTTGTGTAAGAGCTGGGGAGGCTTTGCTGTTCCCTCCCTAAGCAAAAGGCTCTGTTTTTAATTAATTAATTAATTAATTAATTAATTAATTAATTAATTCATTCATTCATTCATTCATTCATTTGGTTTTTGCCTTTTTACTCTTCCCAAAATGCATCTTGCCAGCATGACGCTTCCTCTATCACGGAATGGCCTTCCCCTCCCTGGATAACGTCCTTTTTCTCTAAACCTTTCCAAGAAAATTTCAAGGCTTCTTGGAAATCAGTACCGTTGCTTTTTATTTTTATTTTTATAAACCAAGAAGCCTCAGGCAAAGCAGAGAGCGCTGCTGGCTGGGGGATTCTGGGAGTTGAAGTCCACCCATCTTCAAGCTACCAAGGTTGAGAAACACTGCCCTAAAGCAAGAGGCTTACAGACTGAGCCATGGTCAGCTAATTAAAGTCCACAAATTAGCTAAATACTAATTAGCTAATTAGCATTTAGCAAATTAGCATCCTCGTGAGAAATGAGGATGGGAATCCACAGAGAAGCCGGTCTGGAGTCCATAACTAGGAAAGAGATTCACCCATCGTGGTCCTTTTGCCCAGATCCTCCCGTGACTTGTGGCAGAATGACTTCATGGGGCGTGGGAGGTGCCATGACCGCCCGTGACCCCTCCAGAGGCTTTGATCCTCCTGGTTTGGATCATTGACCGTCTTAATTGGGCTCTGCAGTTCCCTGGCAGAAGCTGGTGGGAAGCTGGGACTTCTCCAACCTCAACAAGAAGCGAAGGCTCTTTCTTAACTCGGACGATCTGGAGCTTCCTCATGGCCACAACCTCCACCGCCTCCCAAATTGTGCAATTTAAGATCGTGACGATTATTATATATGGTTGATTGCACAGTCAGCCAGATGTTCAGACTGGATTTGTCATTTTTGTCCAACCGTTGAGTCCTTCTCAAGGACTTGGGACAGACAGATGTGGCTGTCTGACGGGGTTAGATGTAACCTCACAGGATGTGAGCTGTTCCAAGTCAAGCTGCCTTTTGCAATTGACCGATGGTGATTTGGTCAACGCCGATGGTATTATTATTATTATTTTTGTTGTTGTTCGTTGCATAGCCAGCCGGATGTTCAGACTGGATTTTGGCAGTTTTGTCCACCTCTCGAGTCCTTCCCAAGGACCTGGAATAGGCAGATGTGGTCATTTGATGATGTTAGATGTAGAAGATAAGCTGTTCTGAGCACAGCTGCCTTTTGCAATTGACCAATGGGGATTTGGTCAATGCCACTGGTGGTCAACATATGCTCCAGATGTTTTAGGATTGCAGCCAAGGTGCCTATCCCTCCCTATTGGAACTCCCTTTGCTTGCTCCTGCCACAGTCATTAATAACAGATAATTAGGTTTTCAATCTACATATGTTTGCAACTTGTAAACACCTTTTCCAGCACTGGGTCAACAGCTGCTGGCTGCGGTCACTCAGCCAACTCTCTTGACTCGGTTAGACCATTTGTTACCACATGTCCAGAATTATTATTGGGGTTAATTACACAGCCAGGTGTTTAGAGTAGCTCTGGCATTTTATCCACCTATCCCGTCCTTCCCAAGGACCTGGGAGAGCAGATGTGGCTTAACAGTATTAAAGGTAGGATATAAAATCTTCCAAGTCAAACTGCTTTTTGTGTTGACCGATGGGGATTTTCTCAGTCTTGATGGTGTTCAAATGGTGTTCCAGATGTTTTAGGATTGAACTCAAAATGCCTATCCCTATTGGGACATTCTTTGCTTTCTTTGTTGTTCTGTTTCCATTTGTGGGTCTTTGTATTTAGTTATATTCTTCAGTTCTTTCTCTTCTACTCTGCTGTCCCCAGGTCCTGCCATATCCACTATCCAGACTTTTTTGGGTCTTTCTTATTGACAATGGTTAAGTCTGAGGTGTCTGTTTGAAGTCTAAAGTCTTCATTTTTCAATGACTTTCTCTATTTTATAATCCCAGCAGTCCTCACTTTGCAGGCAAAGGGTATTTCTTGCAGATCTCCCAGTGCATCGTTGTTGCTACTTTGTCGTGCCGTTGTTTGTAGTCCGTCTGGGTGATCTTCTGGCAGCAGCTAACCAGATGCGCCACTGTTTCTTCCGCTTCTTTGCAGAGGCGGCACTTGCTGTCTGTTGCTGTCTTCTCAATTCTGGTTTTGTATGCATTTGTTTTCCAGGCTTGGTGCTGTTGTTGTTGTTGTTTTGTCTTGATGGATACCAGGAGGAGGAGCAGTACTTTCTGGCCTTTTCTTCCATATTTGCGATGAGAACACCTTGTTCTGTAGATAATGGAGAATGTGGAGAATGAATCACTGGGAGCCTGGTGGACATTTCCACCCTGTATGACCTCAAAAGGAATGTGAAGGAGGAGGAGGAGGCTGTCCATGGATCTCCTGAATCATTCTTTCTCCTTCCCTTCTTGACCCAGGAATTATCATTGCTGGGTGGAATGTTGGATGACCCGTCCAGACCTCCCAAGCGGCTATGACGGCTGGCAAGCTTTGGACCCAACTCCGCAGGAAAAGAGTGAAGGTAAGTGATGGAAAGGTTGTGTTACCAGGTCTCTCCTAAAGGCTAAGGGAGGCTCTGGGATGGCCAGACTGTTACTTGCCAAGTCCACACTTGGAATACGGCATCCAGCCATGATGTCAAAAAGGATTCTGAAAAGAGTGCAGAGAGAAGAGCAACGAAGATGATTAGAGGGCTGGAGGCTTAAAATACAAAGAACAGTTGCAGGAATTGGGTATGTCTAGTATAATGAAGTGGGGACATGGTGGCTCAGCTTGTTGATCAAAAGGTTGGCAGTTCAGCGGTTCGAATCCCGAGTGCCACGTAACGGGGTGAGCTCCCATGACTTGTCCCAGCTTCTGCCAACCTAGCAGTTTGAAAGCACGTAAAAAAATGCAAGTAGAAAAATAGGGACCACCTTTGGTGGGAAGGGAACAGCGTTCCATGCGCCTTTGGTGTTGAGTCATGCCGGCCACATGACCACGGAGACGTCTTTGGACAGCGCTGGCTCTTCGGCTTTGAAACGGAGATGAGCACCGCCCCCTAGAGTCGGGAACGACTAGCACATACGTGCGAGGGGAACCTTTACCTTTACCTTTAGTATAATGAAAAGAAAGAGTAACAGAATAACATAGTTGGAATGGACTCTTGAGATCATCCAGTCCAACCATGCAGGAGGCCCTAGACCGTTTCTGACCGAGGGCAGTCCAGTCTCTTCTTGAAAGCCTCCAGTGATGAAGCTCCCACAACTTCCGAAAGCAACTTCTGTTCCATGGGTTGATTGTTCTCACTGTCAGAAAATTCCTCTTTATTTCCAGGTTGAATCTCTCCTTGTTCAGTTTCCATCCATTATTCCTTCTCTGGCCCTCTGGTGCTTTGGAAAATAGCTTTCACTCTTCCTCCTCTCTGTAGCAGCCCCTCAAGTATTGGAAGGCTGCTATCATGTCTCCCCTGGTCCTTCTCTTCACTAGACTAGCCATGTCCAGTTCCTGCAACCGTTCATCGTAACTTTTATTCTCCAGTCTCCTCATCATCCTGGTTGCTCTCCTCTGCACTTTTTCTTCAATGCGCCCCGCCCCCCTGTGCATGCCCACCCCACCCCACTGAGCTCCCCCCCCTCCCGCGTTTGGCACGAGATGGCACGGTGGGACCAGTAGGCCCATTTTTCGTCCTCCCCAGGCTCCAGAGGCTTTCTTGGAGCCTAGGGAGGGTGAAAAGGGTCTTCTCCACCTCCACCCCGCGGGAAGCCCTCTGGAGGCCAGAATCAGTCTGTTTGCTGATTTCCAGTGGGACCTAGAGAGCCCCTGGAGCCTGGGGAGAGTGAAAAACAGGCCTTCCCTCCCCTGGAGGCTCTCCAGAGGCTGGAAACAGCCTGTTTCCCGACTTCCGGTGGGCCCAGAAGGCCTGAAAATCAGCTGGCTGGCTTGTGCATGCGCACCGAAGATGAGCTAGGGTGACGCTCGCGTGCCGATATGGCTCCATGTGCCACCATCACGGGTATATAGAGTCTCCTGCTCCAGGAGGGGGCTGGACTAGCAGACCTCCAAGATCCCATCCAACCCTGTTCTTCTATGTTGTATGTGCTCCCTCCGCAGGAGTCTACTGCTGTGGGCCAACTCCGGTGAAAGCCGTCAAGGATGGACAACTGGATTTCAAGTACGATGTGAAGTTCGTCTTTGCCGAGGTCAACGCCGACGTGGCCTTCCTGATGCTTCAGAGCGACATGTCCCGGAAGAAGACCACTCACCCCACCTTAGTGGGCAAGAAGATCAGCACCAAGAGTGTGGGGAAGGACACCAAGGAGGACATCACGCACACCTACAAGCATGGCGAAGGTACTCGGAGGGGCCGTGGGAAAACTGGGTGGGCACCAATGAGCTCATCCGGGCAGGAAATACGACCGTAATTGAGCCTGGAATTACAATCATAACTCAAGGCCAATCCTTAAGTGGATCCCCACATGGACAGGATCAAATGTATGACCTTTGGGTGGTGGCTGTTGAAGTGAATCATGGTTGTTAAGTGAACGCAGCCGTCATTAAGCAAATCCATTTGTCCACCATGGCTGTATTTCTTTTCGTTTTCGTTTTGCTGGAAAGAAAAGCCAGATTCTGGCCAAAACATTAATTGTGGTTACATGAATGCAGTCACTGGAAACAGGCATAAGTACCAGTCAGTTGCCAAGCAATCATAGGACCGTGGGAACGATCATCAGAACTTTGAATCTGCCTGCCTTGGATGTTGCCCTGGAGAGATCCGTTGTAACTTCGAATCGGTGCTAAGGAATCAGTTGTAAATTGAGAACCACCTGTTAATGGGCTTCTGAGTATGTTTAATGGAAGCCCAAATATTGAGAAATACTGAAGAAATGCCTAGGATAGTAATGGCGAACCTTTTTGCCATCACGTGGCGAAAGTGGGGGGAACACGGGGGGTCACGCACACCTGTACCCATACCCATCATTCATAACCCCGCCCCCCCCGCATGCATGCGCAACACCCCCCCCCCCCGTGTCCCCCCCTCTTTTGGCATGCGATGGCACAATGGGCCCAGTAGGCCCGTTTTTCGCTCTCCCCAGGCTTTCTAGGAGCCTGGGGAGGGCTAAAACAGCCTTCCCCACCTCACCCCACCCCCAGAGGCCCTCTGGAGGCCGGAAACAGCCTGTTTCCCAACTTCCAGTGGGCCCAGAAGGCCTGAAAATCAGCTGGATGGCGCACACATACGCACTGCAGCTGAGGTAGGGCAACGCTCGGGTGTCCACTGATATGGCTTTGCGTGACACCTGTGGCACGCGTGCCATAGGTTCGCCACCATGGGCCTAGGGCAATGAAATGCCTAGCACAGCCAGCTGGGGAATCATGGGCATTGTAGTCCATGCATATTAAAATCTCTGAGGTTGACAAACATTGGTGTAGTAGTACTTTTGTTCCATGTTTTGCACATCCACCATCAGTTGGCCATCTGTAGCTCTTAAGCATGTGCAGAGTTTCAGTAAAGGAGAATATTTGTTGCTCAGGGTTGAAGCGCAGCGATGACATTACAGGGAGTCCTGGACTTATTAACGCAACTGAGCTCAAAATTTCCATTGCTAAGCGAGACGTTTGTCAAGTGAGTTTTCCCCCCGTTTTACGACCTACCTCACCACCGTTGTTAAGTGAATCACTTCCATTATACAATTAGTAACCGGGTTGTTCAGTGAATCTGGCTTCCCCACTGACTTTGCTCATCAGAAGGTCCCAAAAGGGGATCAGGTGACCCCAGGACATTGCAACCATCATTAATATTAATATTATTAATTAATATTATTAATTAATTAGCATATAATAATAATAATAATAATAATAATAATAATAATAATAATAATAAACCATCAGTTGTGGGATGCAGTGGCTCAGTGGCTAAGACGCTGAGCTTGTCGATCAAAAAGGTCGGCAGTTCAGCGGTTCGAATCCCTAGTGCCGCATAACGGGGTGAGCTCCTGTTACTTGTCCCAGCTTCTGCCAACCTAGCAGTTCGAAAGCACGTGAAAAATGCAAGTAGAAAAATAGGGACCACCTTTGGTGGGAAGGGAACAGCCTTCCGTGCGCCTTTGGCATTGAGTCATGCCGGCCACATGACCACGGAGACGTCTTCGGACAGCGCTTGCTCTTCGGCTTTGAAACGGCACCGCCCCCTAGAGTCTGGAACGAGACTAGCACATATGTGCGAGGGGAATTCTTACCTTTAAACCATCAGTTGGCAAACATCTGAATCTTGATCACGTAACCATGGGGAGGCTGCAACGGTCATAACTGTGAAAAATGGTCATAAACCACTTTTTTCCAGTGCTGTTGTAACTTGAAACGGTCACTAAATGAATTGTTGTAAGTCAAGGACTACTTGGACGTAATTTGAGCAATGAAACATCTGCAACAAAATAACCCAGCTCAGCGTGCAGAGTTTCTTTAGATATAAGTTGGGTTTGGGCCAGTGGTGAAATCTAAAATTAGTTACTACCGGTTCTGTGGGTGTGGCTTGGTGGGGGGAAGGGTAATGTGACTGGGTGGGTGTGGCCTTTTTTTTTTAACTTTTAAAACCATTTTTTCTATAACCTCTAAGAGGTTGTAAAAAAATGCTTTCAAAAGGCTCTGACGATCCCAGCTGAGTTGCCCGATAGGCAGAGGCTTTTTTTTAAAAGAAAAAAAGGTTTTTTTTTTCTTTTAAAAGCCTCTGATGATCCCAGCTGAGCCGCGCGATCATCAGAGGGTTATTTTTTTACTTTTAAAAGCATTTTTTCAGCCAAAGAGGTTGTAGAAAAAATCCTTTTAAAAGTAAAAAAAAGGCTCTGATGATTGTGCGGCTCAGCTGGGCATGGGGGGGGGGGCAGGGATTTTTGCTTTGATTTCTCCGAACCACCCGTCCCCATCACTACCGGATTGGACGATCCGGTCCGAACCGGGAGCATTTCACCCCTGGTTTGGGCAGCGTTCCTCCTACGGTGTTGGGGGGAGAGAAGCTGCCTCTGGGTACCCCACCCCACCCCCAAAAGAGGACATTTTCCAGGTTTCTTTGCTCCTGTTTTGGCTGCAGATTCAGAGCAGGAGAGAGCCTCCTTCGAGAAGCACGAGACGACCCAGGCCACGGAGGAGGAAGGTTTGGCCCTCAGGATCAAGGCTTCCGAGGGGATGAACAACGGGTGCGACTTCGACGTCTTTGTGGTCATCAACAACAACACGCCCGAGGAACGGCTCTGCCGGCTGAGGATCTCGGCCGCCACCGTCAGCTACAACGGGGAGCTGGGCGCCGAATGCGGGTACAAGGACCTGTTGAACGTCAGCCTGGATCCCAACGCAGGTAGCGTCAGAAGAAGAATTCGGGGTTCCAACTCCAGCCGGGGATATTGGGCAGGAATAAATCCAAATGAATTCCAGACAGCTGGGAGGAAAGGAGAATTATTTAGTCCCCAAAGGAAAGAGGTTTGCCCAGGGGTGTCAGCTGCAGAAAAATGGGGCTTCATAGGGGAGCTTGTCCTTGGTCTTTGGGTCTTGAGGGGAGTGGAAGTGGGTACGTGCTGGTTCTGGGGTGACCCTTGTGGGATGTGGGTGGGTGTTGAGCCAGAGAAGTTAATTACAGTAGTGGCCAAAATTGTGGAAACCTTTTGGGGAAAAATGTCTTTTCTAAAACTAGCTAATAACACCACTTTTTTTTTTTGGAGTAGTACCATAAAATTATATATCAATGGAAAGGTAATTTAATCAAGAACGTAATGCAATAAATCCTTTTATGAAAGATTTGCTATTAGAATAGCAGTTACAGTATAAAGAAGAAAAGTGAAACACGTAGAAAAAGCAAGATATACAAAAATGATCCCCATGTCAGTTAATACTAAGTTGGGTAACCTTTAAGCATGAATGACGGCCTTACAACGTCTTCCCATGGAGTGAACCAAGTGAGTTCTGCAGCTGTTATCATGTGAAACCAAAATTGAATGGTGGCTTCTATTAACTGGGTTTTATTGCTGGGTCGCTTCTGACTAACCAGTTTCTTTAGCTGTTTAGAATTTAGAAATTCCATAGATTTTCCATTGGGTGAAGCTCTGGGCTATTCCCAGGCCATTCCAGCAGTGGAATAGGATGATCTTGAAACTCCAAAAAAATTGGTGTTATTAGCCATCAAACCTCAAAAAATACACTTTTCCCAAAAGGTTTCCACAATTTTGGCCACTACTGTAAATCAAGAGAAGTGGATTGAGTCTCTCTGTTTGAACTGCAAGCATTCTAATTATGTTTACATGGTCTTAACTGAGTTTCGTAGGTTTGCTTGTGTGTGTTTATAATTTGACATCGGTGTTTAATTCTCATGTTTAAGAAAGTTTAAAAGGATTTCGGAGGCTGCTAATCAGTAACTTAGTGGAGACTTGGATTAATTGACTGTATGATTTCCCTGTACAATATTTCTAACCCCATTATATGCATTCGTAAATTCTTTCCACAGTAGGCTTGTGCATGGGTTGGGCTGCAGAGCTGATGGTCGGGCTCGCTCGTCCATCATGCTCAGGATTGGGGGGGGAAGGGGGAACAGGAGAGGCAAAGGAGAAGAATGTGGGTCAGGATGTCTGTAGGCCTGATGGTGAATTTGGCTCTGACACCTGAGCGAACTTTCCTTTGTGTGCCAAACAGGTGGCGTTTTACCTCTGGTAAAGTTTTTGCACAGTTGTGCAGGCTCCTGACCACATAAGAGTAGAGGCCTGCAGCATCTCCTTGGCAACCTTAAGACTTGTAGACTTCAACTCCCAGAATTCCCCAGCCAGCAAAACCTTCCAGAAATTCTCTGGAAGCCCTTTTGGGACTTAACTTGTTCTAGGTTGCTCACAGATTGTGTCCCTGCGTTGTGCAATTAAGCAGTTTTCATTGTGTCTTCTGAATTCTTGAGTTCTGGCTGGTGTTTACAGATGCAGTGCGATAGCCTTCTGTCTGTCTGTCTGCCCTACAATGACTTCGACATTGGCAGGTTGCCTCCTGCTGCAAATTTATTGCAGGGGCATCCCTTGGAGACTGAGAAAAAGATGTGATGGGGGGAGTAATGGATTGGTCAGCATCAGCATCTGCCCCAAACCTGTCAAAAAACAGTAGAATTACAGAATAACAAGGTTGGAAGGGACCTTGGAGGTCTTCTAGTCCAGCCCCCTGCTCAAGTAGGAGACCCTTTACATTTCAGACAAATGGCTGTCCAGTCTTTTCTTAAACACCTCCAGTGATGGAGCACCCACAACTTCTGGAGGCAAGCTGTTCCATTGGTTAATTGTTCTCACTGTCAGGAAGTTTCTCCTTAGTTCTAGGTTACTTCTCTTCTTGATGAGTTTCCATCCGTTGCTTCTTGTCCTACCTTGAGGAGCTTTGGGGACTAGGTTGACTCCGTCTTCTTTGGGGCAGTCCCTCAAATATTCGAAGACTGCTATCATGTCTCCCCTAGTCCTTCTCCATCAGACTAGCCATGCCCATTTCCTGCAACCGTTCATCGTATGTTTTAGCCTCCAGTCCCCTAATCATCTTTGTTGCTCTTCTCTGCACTCTTTCTAGAGTCTCAGCATCTTTTTTACATCATGGCGACTTTCATTTCTTTCTTTCTTTCTTTCTCTCTCTCTCTCTCTCTCTCTCTCTCTCTCTCTCTCTCTCTCTCTCTCTCTCTCTCTCTCTCTCTCTCTCTCTCTCTCTCTCTCTCTCTCTCTCTCTCTCTCTCTCTCTCTCGTTCACACACACACACACACACAGAAAGTGAAAGTGAAAGAAAAAGTGTGTGGGGGAGAGAGAGACAGAGAGAGAGACAGAGAAAGAAAGGGAGAGAGGGAGAGAGAAAGAGAAAGTGTCTGTGTGTGAGAGAGAGAGAGAGGGAGGGAGAGAGAGACACAAAGAGAAAAAGAAAGAGAGAAAGAGAAAAAGAGAAAAAGAGAAAAAAAGAAAGAGAGAAAGAGAAAGCATGTGTGTGAGAGAGAAAGAGAGAGAGACAGACACACACACACAGAGAGAAAGATCTTTCCAGCTCTCCGTATTGCAGGAATTTGTGCTCAGCTCCTGGGGAGCAACAGGGACAGAAGGACGAGCAATATGCATGAGCTTCTTAGGATGCCCAGGTATTCCTTCCTCTGGATAAAGCTTGCCCCTGAGGTCCAGATTCTGCAGAAACCTTTTGGAATCAAAAGCTGGAGGAACCAAGTGGGAGGCAAGGCCGGTCCTTTGCTCTCTCTCTCCCTTTCTCCCCAGGAAAGCATGACGTGGTTTTTCCATAGCTGGGAAGGGCTCCAAACCGACCCCCCAAGGGGAGCTCAGATCTGCCTGCCTTCGGCTATTTTAAGAGTGTAGGTAGAGCAGAAAAACTGCTCCAACCTCCGGTTGACCTCCCAGAATTAAATGCCTGGCGTTTAAAACTCCTTCGCGGCTCCTTTGAGGGAGCAAAAGTCTTAAGAAGCCGTGAGATGCCCAGTTGGGTCTCTGAAGGAAGAAACCCAGCGGAGCATTTTCTGATAGAAATCCGTGGGGTTTTGTTAGGGATTCCTGGACCTTCTTCCTCCCTACGCCTTTCACGATCCTTGCCTTTTATTTTTATTCTCTCGGTTTCATTATGCAGCACCCAGAGCTGGTCTGGACTCCGGCAGTGTCTGAACTGACTCAATTGAATTAAATGACTGTGGTGGGGAAACCGTTCTTAAGTCAATACCTGCGGTTGTTAAGTGGGTAACACAGTTGTTAAGTGAATCCGGCTTCCCCATTGACTTTGCTTATCGGACGTTTGCAAAGGGGGATTGCGTGACCCCGGGATGCTAAGAAAGGTGGCTGATTTTATGACCGTTTTGCCACGGTTCTTAAGCGAATCACTGCAGTCGGTATGGTTAATCACTGCATGGTTGTTAAGCAGATCCGGCTTCCTGCGTTGATTTTGCTTGTGTGAAGCCAGCTGGAGAGGTCGCAAATGTGGATCACGCGATTCTGGGAAGCTACAACCATTGTAAATACCCACTGCTCGTCAAGGGCCCAAGTTTAAGTCATGTGACCGCGGGGAATGTTGTGATGGTCATAAGTGCGAGGAACAGTCGTAAGTCACTTGTTTTAGTGCTGTTGTAACTGCGAACGGAATACTAGATGAATGGTCGTAAGTTGTGAATGATCTGCACGTTGTTTTAAGGAATTAATTGAGGGAGCCCCCGGAGTCGCTTTATATGGGTGACATATAAATAAAACAAAAGATACACAGATCAAACCATCAAAAAATAAATAAATAAGATATATAATATCATTGGTGGCTTTGTGTAAATCAGGAGAAGAAAGGAAGGTGGGCGAGGGACTTCAGGCAGCTGGTGGGGGAGGGGCCGAAATAACCTTTGGGATGGCTCAGAGCTCTCCTCCATCCATCCATCCATCTATCTATCTATCTATCTATCTATCTATCTATCTATCTATCTATCCGTCTGTCTGTCCATGCATCCTTCTGTCTGTCTGTCCGTTCATCCATCTATCCATCCACCTATCTATCTATCTATCCATCCCTCCCCCATCCATCTATCTATCTATCTATCTATCTATCTATCTATCTATCTATCTCTATCTATCTATCTATCTATCTATCTATCTATCTATCTATCTATCTATCTATCTCTCTATATCTCTATCTACCATTCTATCTACCATTCTATCTATCATTCTATCACTCTCTCTCTCTCTCTCTTTTGTAAATCAGGCGTGTCCAACCTTGGGAACTTTAAGACTCATGGACTTCAACTCCCAGAATCCTCTAGTCCAGTGTTTCTCAACCTTGGTAGCTTGAAGATGGGTGGACTTCAACTCCCAGAATCCCCCAGCCTGGGGGATTCTGGGAGTTGAAGTCCACCCAACTTCAAGCTTCCAAGGTTGAGAAACACGGCTCTAGCCAATAAAGCTGGCTGGGGAATTCTGGGAGTTGAAGTCCACAGGTCTTAAAGGTGCCACAGTTGAACACCTCTGGTCTAAATAAAGCAAACAACCCATCAATGAATCATAACAACAATTCCACAAACATGCAATGTATCAAAACATAAAAACGGCATGAAAGAAAATGTATCTCTCTGAAACCCCAACGATACACGACGTTTCCAGAGCCAGATTCTGACGATGCTCCCTCTGTGTTTCCCTCTGCAGAAAGGACGGTCCCCTTGCGCATCCTTTACGAGAAATACGGCAGCTGCCTGACCTCGGACAACATGATCAAAGTCACGGCTGTCCTGCAGCAGTCGGAGAACCGGAAGATCCTCCTCGGGGTGCGGGACTTCCACATCAAGAACCCCGACATCAAAATCCGGGTAGGGCAGATTTGAGGGGAGCTTCGGCAGGGAGGGTCCCTTGCACGAGGAGAAGGGAAGGTGGGCGAGGGACTTCAGGCAGCTGGTGGGGGACGGGCTGAATTAACCTTTGGGATGGCTCAGAGCTCTCCTCCATCCATCCGTCTGTCCATCCGTCCGTCTCTCTGTCCATCCATCTGTCTGTCCTTCCGTCCATCCATCCATCTATCTATCTATCTGTCCATCCATCCATCCGTCCTTCCTTCCTTCCTTCCATCCATCCATCCAACCATCCACCCTTCCTTCCTTCCTTCCTTCCATCCATCCATCCATCCACCCTTCCTTTCTTCCTTCCTTCCTTTCATCCATCCATCCATCCATCCTTCCTTCCTTCCTTCCATCCATCCATCCTTCCTTCCTTCCTTCCATCCATTCATCCATCCATCTGTCCTTCTGTCCGTCCATCCATCCATCCCTCTGTCTGTTTGTCTATCTGTCTGTCCTTCCATCCATCCATCCTTCCTTCCTTCCTTTCTTCCGTCCGTCCATCCATCCATCCATCCATCCATCCATCCATCCATCCATCCATCCATCCATCCATCCATCTATCTATCTATCTATCTATCTATCTATCTATCTATCTATCTATCTATCTATCCATCTATCTATCCATCCGTCCGTCCGTCCGTCCATTCATCCATCTAAAGATTTTTGTCTCTTTATCACTTTATAAGTAACCGAAGGCAGCAAATATACCAAATATTCTTTTTTTCCTTCTCTTTTCCCCACAAAAACAACCCTCCCTGTGAGGTGGGTTGGGCTGAAGGAGAGGACTGGCCCAAGTCACCCAGCTGGTTTTCATGCCTAAGGCGGGACTAGAACTCCCTGACTCCTGGTTCCTAAGCTGAGATCCCCTGATCAGGAGGCTGAGCTTTCTGAGACCCTCTTTTCTGCCCCAAAGAAGAAGGGGGCAGCATCTGGAGGCCCAGGATAGAATGGCTGGGGGGGAGGGGGGCCGAAGAAGAGCAGGTGGTCCTGGTCACAGCCTCATTCCCTTTGCTTTGAGCAGGGGCTGGGCTAGAGCAGGGGTCTCCAACCTTGGTAACTTTAAGCCTGGAGGACTTCAACTCTCAGAATTCTGGGAGTTGGAGTCCACCAGGCTTAAAGTTGCCAAGTTTGGAGACCCCTGCTCTAGAGTAGGCCACATCCCACTGGGTCTTCTCTGCTGTGCAGCCCCCCCCCCCCCGGCTGCCCTCTAAGCAACCCCCAGCCCCTGCTTCCATCCTTTAGAGACCCCCATTTCCCCCCTCCCTATTTATCTGTGTTTCTGCAACACGCTTAACTGGGTTTGCCTGCAGATGATCAGGTCTCCATCCAACAGTGGGGAAGCGTGTCGCACAAACCCAACTCTACCTGCAGTCCTCGACTTACAAACATCCGTTGAATGACCATTCAAGCTTATAACGGCACTGAAAAAGTGACTTATGACCATTCTTCACACACTTACGACCATTTTTTTTTTTTTAAATTTGATTTATATGCCGCCCTTCTCCAGAGACTCAGGGCGGCTTACAATGCGTTAAGTAATAGCCTTCATACTTTTGTATATTTTATACGAAGTCAGCTTATTGTCCCCCACAAACTGGGTCCTCATTTCACCCACCTTAGAAAGGATGGAAGGCTGAGTCAACCTTGAGCCTTGGCGAGATTCAAACCTGCAGTAATTGCAGACAGCTGGTCTTAATAACAGGGTGCCTTAGACCACTGTACTACCAAGGCTTGCAGCATTCCCAAGGTCGCGTGATTAAAATCCGGATGTCATGCGATCCGCTTTTGCAACCTTCGGACAAGCCAATGGGGAGGCTAGATTCACTTAACAACCGTGGCGAAGAAGGTTGTAAAAGGGAACAAAACTCACCTGACAACTGTCTCGCTTAGCTTCTGGATTTTGTGCTTGAAACTTAGATTTTGGTATTTACCCATTAGATAAGTTTGTTGTTACAGAAACAGTTTATACTATTATGTAGAAGTTAAAAAGTTGTGGTACGAGGCTGTGGCAGGTAGTCCTCGACTTACGACCACAATTGAGCCCAACATTTCTGTTGCTAAGCAAGACATTTGTTAAGTGAGGTTTGCCCCATTTTAATGACCTTTCTTGCTGCCATTGTTAAGTGAATCCCTGCAGTTGTTAAGTTAGTAAAACGGTCATTAAGTGAATCTGGCTTCCCCATTGACTTTGCTTGTCAGGGGGTCGCAAAATGGGATCTCGTGATCCCGAGACACTGCATCTGTCGTAAATATGAGTCAGTTGCCAAGCGTCTGAATTTTGACCATGTGACCACAGGATGCTGCAATGGTCGTTAAGTATGAAAAACGGTCGTAAGTCACTTTTTTCAGTGCCATTGTAACTTTGAACAGACACTAAATGAACCGTTGTAAGTTGGGGACTACATGTATCTTATTCTACTTCCCCTTTTTTCCCTACACTTTTCCCTTCCCTTCTCCCGCTCTTATTTTCCTGCTATTTTCTTTTGTATGTTTGTATTTTATATTATAAATTGATTTAAAAAAGAATTAAACTGTCTGGCACAGCAACAGAAAATCTGGGGCTCCAATTTGGTTGCAAGTCGAGGACTGCCTGTCAGAATTCGAACTGAGAGCACTGCTTTCCCTCTTTCCGACCTGCAGGTTTTGGGTGAGCCGATGCAGAAGCGCAAACTGGTGGCCGAGCTGACCCTGAGCAACCCCCTCCCCACCAGCCTGACCGGCTGTGTCTTCACCATGGAGGGGGCCGGACTGACCGGGGGACAGAAGGTCCAGCAGCTGTAAGTGTGACCTCATAATGGCGTTCTGATGGCCGTCCAGTCTGGGAGGATTTCACTGGGGGAGGGGGTCCTGCTCGGAGCGGGGGCTGGACTGGATGACCTCATGGGGACCCGTCCAGATTTAAAAGTCAAGTCGTAAAATCCGATGCGGCTGGCTTCACAACTGGCCTCGTTCAGTCATGGAAATTCTGGCCCCCACCCAGGAAAGAAACTTACCTTCTTCTGCTCCAGAACACATATTTTTCTCCCCCAACGTTCCAGATGTTAAAGCTAAACATAGACCCAATTAGGAGAGGCGAAAAGGAGAAGCAGATGTTTGAAAATAAGCATTGGATGAGGGCGTGCAACGCAGGGGCTGCCTTCCTGTGGGTGGGTGGGTGACACAAACATGCATTGGAGTTGCACCCATAACAGGCGGCCAGAGGAGTGGAACCCTTGACCCCTTTGCAGGGGGGAAATGCTCCCGGTTCGGATCGGATCCCTCAATCCAGTAGCAATGGCGGTGGCTGGTTCGGAGAACCAGTAGCAAAAATCCCTGCACACCCCCCACCCCATGCCCAGTTGAGCCACGCAATCATCAGAGGCTTTTTTTTTTACTTTTAAAAGCATTTTTTCTACAACCTCTTTGGCCGAAAAAATGCTTTTAAAAGTAGAAAAACCAAGCCTCTGATGATCGCTCGGCTCAGCTGGGATCGTCAGAGGCTTTTAAAAGCATTTTTTCTACAACCTCTTCGCCAAAGAGGTTGTAGGAAAAAAAATGCCTTTAAAAGCCTCTGACGATCCCAGCTGAGTTGCCTGATCGTCAGAGGCTTTTAAAAGCATTTTTTTCTGCAACCTCTTCAGCCGAAAAAATGCTTTTAAAAGTAAAAAAATAAAAAGCCTCTGATGATCGTGTGGCTCAGCTGGGATCGTCAGAGGCTTTTAAAAGATTGTAGAGGTTGTAGAAAAAAGTTTTTAAAAGTAAAAAAAAAAAGTTAGCCATGCCCACCCATCTTTTGAACTGGTAGTCCTCGACCTACGCCCACAATTGAGCCCAACGTTCCTGTTGCTAAATGAAAGATATGTTTTGCCACATTTTTACGGCTTTTATTGCCACGGTTGTTAAGTGGATCACTGCAGTTGGTAAATCAGTCACACGGTTGTTAAGTGAATCTGGCTTCTTCCCCGTGGACTTTGCTTGCCGGAAGGTCGCAAACATACGACCCCGGGATGCTGCAAACGTCATAAATACGAGTCAGTTGCCAAGTGTCTGAATTTTGATCACGTGACCGTGGGCATGCAGCGACGGTCGTAAGTGTGAAACACGGCCCTCAGTCCCATTTTTCAGTGACGTTGTAACTTTGGTCACTAAGTGGACTGTTGTTACACCGAGGACTTCCTGTATTTGTTGAATTGCCCTGCAGACAAATGGCTGCAGAAAGTTGTTCCATCCTAAGGGGGAGAAGGAAGGGTGTTGGAGGAAGACCGGGGGATCAGGGGGACCCCTCAGCACCCCAAAAAACTGAGCCCAGCACCCCCCTTGACCTATGCTTTTAAAATAGAAGAACAGAGTTGGAAGGGACCTTGGAGGTCTTCTAGTCCACCCCCCTGCTTAGGAGGAAACCCTACACCACTTCAGACAAATGGTCATCCAACATCTTCTTAAAAATTTCCAGTGTTGGAGCATTTATAACTTCTGGTGGCAAGCTGTTCCACGGGTTCATTGTTCTCACTGTCAGGAAATTTCTATTTTCCATCCTGCTCCAGAGATACGCCTGTCGAACCTGGGGAGGAAGCGAAGGTGAGGGTCGACTTCGTACCCCAACAATACGGCCTGCGGAAACTGGTGGTGGATTTCGAGAGCGACCAACTGAAGGGGGTGAAGGGCTACCGGAACGTCATCATCGCCCCCCAGCGCAAATAAAACCAGAAGCCCCCCCAGCCAAAAAAGCCAAACAACTCCAGGAGCCCCCCAGATGTCGGGGGACGGGGGTCTCTCCCTACCTGCATCCCCAGCTACACCCAGATGCTTCTCTGCTCCTGCCACCACCAAAGACTGACACTTGGACACTGACCCGCCCCACAGCTGCTTGGAGGGCACCCCAAACACCCTAGACTTGACAGGCTGCCATTGGGGAGGGGGTTGCGAGTCTCTACTCGGGATGTGACTTCAAGGGGGTGTCCTATCCTGCCATGCCAGGGGTCCCACGACCCCCAGACTCCCTCATTCTGGGTCCTTTCGATCCTATTAAGATGTTGGCCATCAATCCTGGTTACCTGAGATGGCTGGGAGGTGATTCAGGCTGAAGGGGAGGGCAGGGAGGGTCCCACATTGGCAACTTTAAGACTTATGGACCTCAACTTTAAGACTAGTGAACTTCAACTCCCAGAATTCCCCAGCCTGATGTCCCACTGGCTGGAGAATTCTGGGAGTTGAGGTTCACAGGGTTGAAAGATGCCAAGGTTGGACATTCCCGATTAGAGGGTTCCCCTCTAACTGCCCTCCCAATCATTGGTAGCCTTTGAAAGCCTCGAGAGAAGGACCGAGAAGACCATGTCAACCCTCTGCTTCCCCCATCCTGATGTCCCACCAGAAGCATCCAAGAATGAAAAGATCTCATGCCTCCTCCTGGCATGGCAGCCCATAAAAACAGGGGTGAGGTCAATTGGGGAGAACAATCAGCCTTGTCCATTTGGCTTTGCCATCTCCTTCTTCCCTTCTCCCCCACCCCCGCCCCGGCAAGCTTTGGCTACAATGGCACACTGCTGGCATGAAAGAAGTCCACCATTGCTTGCATGACTACACAATCCCTAAGGCACTCCCATGGCTTATTGTTTAGAGGACTCTTGGCTATGCAGGGCCTGTCTTTTCTCAGAGCATGAAACTCCTGGGTTTGCCTGGTGGACCATCAATGGATTTTTCCACCAGGACTTGATGGCTGATCTCTGATGGCCCTCAAGTACATTTCTGGCACCACTTCTTTGACCAGGAAGTACCAGTCTTTGGAGCCTCCACAAATCACGTTCCCTGAAGCAACCTGATTATAGAGCATATTTCTCAACCTCGGCTGCTTGAAGATGGGTGGACTTCAACTCCCAGCATTCCACAGCCAGCAGAATTCTGGGAGTTGAAGTCCACCCATTTTCAAGTGGCCATGTTAGACAAATGCTTAGAGAGATAGCAAGATCTCAAAAACGGTGCTTTACATGACTTCCACTCCCTACTTGGAAGAAGAGGGGAAACTTCTTGATTTTTTTGACAGTCATGTGTCTCCTTGGGTGAGTGGTACATATTTGGGTCCTTCAGTCCTTGGGAGGGACCTACAATAGTTCAGGAACCGAGCAGGAAAAGAAGAGGGCAAGGAAGCAGAACATCAATTAATCATGGCTGGAGAGCATCTAAACCTTCACCAAACTGCCTACCAGAAAGTATTTTTGAAAGAAGGAAGGTGTTGCATGGTCCATCTGCTGCTGGGGCTCCTCTCTGAGACCCATGGAGGGGGTTCCTTTCTCTAAAAGCAGCAAAGGTGATAAAAAAGAGTCCTCCAGGCAGACAACAAACCCATGGAGGCTACAGAACAGTGCCTTCAAAAAGAAGCCAGCATCAAGTTGTTGGCAGTTGGTCAACCCTACCTTGACCACCTTCAGAGTTTTTCGCAAGAAACATCTTGAAGATGGGTGGATTTCAACTCCCAGAATTCCCCCTGGAGCCTCTGCAAACCATGTTCCCTGAAGCAACCTGGTTAGATCAGTGTTTCTCAACCTTGGCCATTTGAGAATGGTTGGACTTCGACTCCCAGCATTCCCCTTCCAGCAAATCCTGGGAGAGGAATTCCACTCATCAAGTGACCAACGTTGAAAACGGATTGGGTTGGAGAGAGAGCAAGATCCCAGGGACCTACTGGATTCCAGTGGCTCTCTGCTACCAACCGTCATGCTGGGTGGGGAACATGGAACATGAGAAGGCAACATGAGAAATATTTGGCCTCCTTGCACACTCACAAACCATTTCTGGACAAGATCAGACTGGCTTTTTCGGGGAGCCGGTAGTCACTTGCCTAAGATGTGGCTTATTGTGAATGCCAGATGTTTGGGCCCCAGTGCTTTTCCAGCTGTGTTACTGGTTCTGAGTCAACCCAGCATGTTTTGGCTCCCTTGTCAAGGAAGGTGCTTGGCAACCATTCACCAACACACCCAGAGATGGACAAGACAAGCACAAATGGAGGATGGAGGATGGATGGATGGATGGATGGATGGATGGATGGATGGATGGATGGACGGGTGGCCAACTAAGAAGGACCAGTTGGGAGGAGGGTCCAGACCAGCCTTTTTCAGCTGTGTTGGTCTATAGCAGGGGGTGTGAAACTCAAGGCCCATACGGTGCTTAGATCTGGCCCGCAGGGCTGCCCTAGAAACAGCAAAGGACCAGCCTGTGGTGCCTCTGCCAGCAAAAACAGAGCTCAGGAGGGCCTCCCAGGCTTCATTTTCAGCCATGACAGCCTCCCCAAGCTCTATTTTCACTGGCAGAGGGTGGCAAGAGGCCGTCGCAGCTGAAAATGGAGCTCAGGAGCCCGTTTTCGCTGGCAGAGTGCTCGGGCCACCACAGACACCCCCGATACGAGTGACGTCAACCTGGCCACACCTACCCCAGCCCCTGAGGTTAAACACAACCCTGATGCGGCCCTCAATGACATCGAGTTTCACACCTCTGGTCTATAGGATGAGTAGAGGTGGTCAGGGACAGTTGACCAATTAAGAAGGACCAGTTGAGAAGATCCAGACCAGGCTATTCCAGCTCTGGTGGTCTACAGGATGAGTAGAGGAGGTCAGGGACAGTTGGCCAACTAAGAAGGACCACTTGGGAAGCCTTTTCCAGCTGTGGTGGTCTACAACCATTGTTATTGGCTGGATTGGGGGAGAATGAGCCCAGGCCAGGCCAGCTGGATTGTATCAAGTGGGGGATGAGCCTCTGTGTCTCCACCTCTTCCAGGCTTCCAGGGAACGTGATGTCCCTTCTTTCTTGGGGGTTGATAGCGCCCAACCACGTTACCTTTTGACCTGAACTCTGGTGCTTTCCGCAGAGCAAGCTCGGCCGGAGGCGCTGGCTTCCAACTCCCTTGGCTGCTGCCCAGTCACACCCTGCTTAGAACATATTTGCAAACCCAACCTGAGAGCCTCCACACTTAGAGAGACGAGAAGCAGATCTAGTTTATAAGCCATTAAAAGTTTTTGTTTAATCTTGACAGATGTTTACTTGCATTGCAATTCTTCTGGGGCTGGTCGCCTTTGCAAATGACGGAGAGCTGATGGGAATTTATTTTGCAATCACTCAATAAAAAGTTTATTTTTCACCTTGCAATTGTTTAGGTTTCTTTTGTGCAGCCAATACTTAACTGGCTCTCTGCTGTCAACAGCCGTGCCGGGTGGGGATGCTGGGCACCGTCATCCAGCAGCTCTATCCCTGAAAGGACCCCCTTGTCTTCAAGGGCAGCCACCTTGGAGGGCGGTCTGCGGCAATCTAGTTGCCGTGGCTCTTCTGAACTGTAGCTGTAGAAGAGAATATTGGTGGCTTGGTTTTGAACTGTGGGGTCCTTGGTGCTCTCTGAGCTTAGTAGGTTTTTGTGCAAACGTTTCATGACCCGACTAGGGAACATCATCAGTGCTAGAAGGGAGTGGGGTTTGTGGAAAGGGAGGAGGAGGAGGAGGAGAACTGAGGTCCTTGGTGCTTTCTGAACTTGCTGGTTTTCTTGCAAGTACGTGACATCTTTAGTGCTAGAAGGGAGATGGGTTTGCAGAGTGGAGGAGAAGAAGGAGAAGGACGATGACATGGACTCTGAGATCCTCGGTGGTCTCTGAGCTTCGTTGTTTTCTTAGAGATGTTTCATGACCCAACTAGGGGATATCTTCAGTGCACTTAACAAAACATCTGCAAGGAAACGACCAAGCTCAGAGAGCCTCAAGGACCCCACAGTCGTTATCTTCCTCTTCCTCCTCCTCTCTGCAAAGCTCTTTTAACACGGATGCTGTTACCTACTTAGATAATGAAATGTCTGCAAGAAAATAATAAAGCCCAGAGAGCCCCAAGGACCCCACAATTAAACCTTGGCCTCCCGGGTGCTTTTAGATCTGGAGGATACAGAGAGTAAATTACTAAAACTCGGTGGGTTTTCCCAACCTGCTGATATTTAATTCAGTTTTGCCATGGTTGGTTGGTCTGGAAAGACCAGGCCTTCCCGTTACTCTGGCTTTCATCAATGTTGTATGAGCCACCTGATGGTTGACCTCTGTTCCCCAAAAAAGCCTCGGGGGGGGGGGAAACGGGGGACGACACACCAATTCGAGTCAAGGCGGACGGACAAGGAGGCTCCTACTTCAGCAACGGGAAGCTGTTGGAAAAAACTCAACCTCTCTGCCAAGAATCTCACCGAGGCTGCTGGCTGAAGGGGGTTCAAAGGAAGGAATGGAGGGATGGGGATCTTCTCTGGATGAATCCTTCTTACTGGCCATGCAAAAGAGAGGGGAACCCGAGGTGTCGTTGGGGTAAGACATGACACGGAACCCACTTCTGGTCACCAGGATATTAAGATTACCGCTGCAATCTTGTGAGATCTGGCCATGAATGGAGTGTATGGGTTTTTAATGTTTTTTTTTTAAAAAAACAACTTTTATGGTATATTGTTCGCATTATTTTTTGTTGTAAACCACCCAGAGTCCCCAGGGAGTTGGGCGGCATAGAAATGTGAATAATAGTAATAATAATAATAATAATAATAATAATAATAATAATAATAATAATAATAATAATAATAATAATATGCAGAGACTCTAGAAAAAGTGCAGAGAAGAGCAACCAACATGATGAGGGGACTGGAGGCTAAAACATACGAAGAACGGTTGCAGGAACTGGGCCTGGCTAGTCTAGGGAAGAGAAGGACCAGGGGAGACAGGAGAGCATCTTCCAATACTTGAGGGGCTGCCCCAGAGAGGAGGGGGTCAACCTGTTTTCCAAAAGCACCAGAAGGCAGGACGAGAAGCAACGGATGGAAACTGACCAAGGAGAGAAGCAACCTGGAATTAAGGAGAAACTTCCTGACAGTGAGAACGATTAAACAGTGGAATGACTTCCTTCCAGAAGTTGTGGCTGCTCCCTCACTGGAGGCTTTGAAGAAGAGACCAGACCGCCTCCTGTCCAGAATGGTATGAGTAGGGGGTTGGACTCGCGCTGTTGAGCTAATCAGTTTCCCTTCCCAGAACTCAAGGGGATCAATCCTGACTATGGAGGAGAGTCTCCCGCTGGTCACTTTTGCCAGCTGCTGCAAGGAGATATACCTGGGGCCAGGGTGGTAGCTGGCAGGGGGCATCCTTGGGCTCTCAAGGGGTTGCAGAAACAAAAGAATTGGGGGCAACGATCTGCCAACTCACCCAACTCCACTGATGCTGTACATTTTCCCCTGATGCCCCCTTTCTCCTCCTGTTCTCTCTCTCTCTTTCCCTCTCCCTCCATTTCTTTCTCTCTCCCTCCTTCTCTCCCTTTTTCCTTTCTCTCCCCCCCTCCCTATTTGTTTCTCTCTCCCATTCCTTGCTCTTTCTCTTTCCTTCTCCCTTTCTCTCTCTCTCTCCCCTCCCTCCGTTTCTCTTTCTCCCTCTCCTCCCTCTCCCTCCCCCTTACTTTGTCTCCCTCTTTCCTTCTTGCTTTCTCTTTTTCTCTTTCTGTCTCACCCTTGCTATTCTCTTATCTGAAATTCAGTGGGCTGTTTTGAACTCTCAGAGGAACCGTTAGCCCGGCTCCTATCAAGCTGGAAGGAAAAGCTGCACAGCACAACCCCTCTTCAGATAAAGAAAGTTAATTTAGACCTCCTATCTTTGCTGGGTAGCTTTTTCTTTTTTTTGGGGGGGGGTGCCACTTAAAAAACAAAACTGTGCAAATTCCAGTCTAGTTGACCAGGAGCAAATGGGGAGGAGTCATTTAGTTCAGGTTTGTTGACTTGAAGCCCCTTCGTTCAGGCTCTGGGCCTGGGGTCCCCCTGGGGAACGTGCTGGGGGGAGGGGCATTTGGCTGTGAGAAAGAAGTTGCTTGTGGTGGCTTGCATGGGAGTCCTTCAATGGGGGCTGGCCACTGCCTTGGCTAGTCGCTGCTCTCTGGCCACTGGCCCAGCCAAATTCCCCAGTTGTAGGTTGTCCTCTCTGTGTGCACCACAACAGGCGTGGGCTTCACCCTTGCACCCCCTGCTCTCATCCTGGCACTTACATGCACCCAGTCCAGACAGCAATTCACATCTGCAGGGGCCCCCCCTTGTCACACTGCAGCGACTGATTCAGACGTCCACACAGGTTTGAACCTTATGATTCTTGATGAATGTATCTTCTCCTTTTATGTACTCCGAGAGCGTATGCACCAAAGACAAATTCCTTGTGTGTCCAATCACACTTGGCCAATAAAGAATTCCACTCCACTCCACTCCACTCCATTCCATTTCTTCCATTCAATTCTAATTCTAATTCTAATTCTAATTTTCTGGCTGTGACTTTTCCTTGGAGGGGGAGCTCTCTAAAGAGACTGTCGTAAAAATATGAATGTAGTGGAGTCCTTGGTGCTCTCTGAGCTTGGCTGTTTTCTTGCAGGCATTTTATGACCCAACTAGGGAACATCATCAGTGTTAGAAGGGAGGAGGAGGAGGAGGAGGAAGGAAGGAAGGAAGGAAGGAAGATGGAGACAGAAGGAGAAGGAGAAAGAGAAAGAGAAGGAGGAGGACTGTGGGGTCCTTGATGCTCTCTGAGCTTGGTGTTTTCTTGAAGACACAACTAGGGAACATCATCAGTGCTGGAAGGAAGTGGGGTTTGCAGAGAGGAGGAGGAGGAAGAAAACCATGAGGTCCTTGGTGCTCTCTGAGCTTGGTTTTTTTCTTGCAGATGTTTTATGACCCAACTAGACAACATCATCGGTGCTCGTCCTCCTCTTCCTCTTTTCCGCAAACCCCCCTTCCTTCTAGCACTGATGATGATGCCTGGTTGGGTCATGAAACATCTGCAAGGAAAAAAAACTGCTCTCAGAGTAGCATCATATATATTTATGCTCTTTTTGCTTTGGGACAGCGCCTGAAGCTCTGTACTGGGTCAGCCTGACCCTCCCTCCTTCCGTCCCTTCCCATAAATAATCCTGATCTTCTTCTTCAGCCCAGGTCACCTCCTCTCCATTGGAACTCCTCCTCCTCCTCCTCTTCCGTGCTGGGTAGATGAACCTTGAGTTTTTTGGCCCAGCCTCTGCCTCACCTCTTCAAAGCCAAGAGTGTGTGTGTGAAAAAACCCTATTGGGCAGGCTTTCCTGGACCCACCGGCTCGCCTGGTCCACTTCTCGCTCATGCTCTCAAACCTCATGAAGAGGACACCATCAAACCAGGTGTGAGGAGGAGGAGGAGGACTGTGCAATCCCTGGTGCTCTCTGAGCTTGGTTGTTTTCTTGCAGACGTTTCATCACCCAACTCGGTAACATCATCAGTGCTAGAAGGGAGTGGGGGTTTACACTAATGTTCCCTAGCTGGATCATGAAATGTCTGCAAGAAAACAGCCAAGTTCAGAGAGCACCAAGGACCCCCCAGTCCTCCTCCTCTTCCTCTTCCTCTTCTTCCACCTCCCTACAACCCCCCTCCCTTCTAACACTGATGAGGTTACCTAGTTGGATCATGAAACGTCTGGTGGCGCAGCAGACTAAAGCACTGTTAATTAAGACCAGCTGCCTGCAATTACTGCAAGTTTGAATCTCGCCAGGCCCAAGGTTGACTCAGCCGTCCATCCTTTCTAAGGTGGGTAAATTGAGGACCCGGATTGTGGGGGCAATAAGCTGACCTTGTAAAAATATACAAAAGTATGAAGGCTATTGCTTAGCACATTGTAAGCCGCCCTGAGTCTCCGGAGAAGGGCGGCATATAAATCAAAGCAAAAAAACAAAAAACAGTCAAGTTCAGAGAGCACCAAGGACCCCCCAGTCCTCCTCCTCTTCCTCCACCTCCCCACAACCCCCCCTCCCTTCTAACACTGATGATGCTACCTAGTTGGGTCATAAAATATCTGCAAAAAAAACGAAGTTCAGAGAGCACCAAGGTCCCCCTCATTTCAACCCTGAGCTACAAATATTCTCCTTGAATGACTTGGCTGGGTTTGCTCCCCAAAGCCACCGAGTGGGGTTTCCAAGCCACAGTGGCTTGGGTGCAGACACCGTGGTCAGCCAAAAGTATTTTTGTAGAGCCCTTTGTGTCCCACGCCAGCCAAAAAAGGAGGCAAGGAAGTCAGCGCAAGGCCACAGGAACCTCAAAGACATAAAACCAAGAGAGAAGGGGGGGGCAGAGAAAAGGGGGTGGGGTGGGGGAGGGAATGCCAAATCTTAACTAGTAGTTCCGGAATGAAGCACCCAGGTAATCCGAGGCTCAAATAGGTTTTACTTTGTTTTAAACGCCATTTTTAACCTGTGTTTTTATTCATGTGTTTATATTGTTTTATTATGCTGTTGTAAAATAACCAGAGCCACTTAAGAGAGATGGGAGATGTAGAAAGTTAATAAATAAATAAATAAATAAATAAATAAATAAATAAATAAATAAATAAATAAATAAATAGCTTAGCGCACTGTAAGCTGCCCTGAGTCTCCGGAGAAGGGCAGCATATAAATCAAATTATAAATAAATAAATAAATAAATAAATAAATAAATAAATAAATAAAGAAAGAAAGAAAGATTAGATAGATAGATAGATAGATAGACAGACAGACAGATATAGACAGACACACACACACACACAGAGATAGGTAGATAGGTGATAGGTAGATAGATAAGATAAAGATAAAGATAAATGATATACATTAGATTAGATCAGAGGTCTTCAAACTTGGCAGCTTTAAGACTTGTGGACTTCAACTCCCAGAATTCTCCAGCCAGCATAACAGAGCACAGCATAGCTGGCTGGAGGATTCTGGGAGTTGAAGTTCAAAAGTCTTAAAGCTGCCAAGTTTGAAGACCTCTGGATTAGATGATAGAGATGAAAGACAGAGATAGATATAAAATAGATAGAGAGATAGAGAGAGGGAGAGAGAGAGAGAATCTGCTGCAGGCAGCTGGAATGGGGATCAACTAAGATCTGTTTTTTACTCTGCAATGGGGCAGACCAGGATTTCAGTCTTACATCGATTCGCCTTAGGACCATATAAATTTTTTTTTTAAAAAAAACCTAAAATACAGAGGGTCCTCAACTTACCACAGTCCACTTAGTGACCAAGTTACGACGGCACTGAAAAATTGTTTTACAACCAATGCAGCACCCCCCATGGTCACATGATCAAAATTTTAACACTTGGCAAATGATTCGCATTTATGACGGTCGCAGTGTCCGGGGGGGGGGTGTCACATGATTCCCCTTTGGTGACCTTCTGACAAGCAAAGCCAATGGGGGGGACCCAGAATTCACTTAACAACCCTGGCAAGAAAGGTCATAAAACAGAGCAAAATTCACTTAACAAATGTCTTGCTTAGCAACAAGTCCGGGGCTCCATTGTGGCCGTAAGTCGAGGACTGCCTGTACAGGACCTACTGCCAGGATAAAATAAGATTTAAAAAAACCCCACAGCAATCAAAATACCTGCAGTGTGCAAGGAAAAGAAGTTTTGGGAGGGCAGGGATAGCGGTCTCTGATCGAGTCAATCACGCGCCTCCACTTAATGACTGCAATTAACTTAACGGGCAGGGTCCATTATGGACGTAACTCAAGGACTACCTGTGCTGGTCCATCTTCCACCAGTGTAAAAGCTGTCACTATAACAGGGGTGGGTTCTAAATTTTTTTACTACCGGTTCTGTGGGCGTGGCTTATTTTGTGGGCGTGGCTTGATGGTCATGTGACAATTCATCTACCCATTTGTTTTTGGTGGCACCGGTCTACCACCACACTGCCTTTTAACACTGATCAGCTGTAGGGCGGCCCTTTGAAGCCCCGGGGCAAGAGTTTAAACAGTTTTTTTTTCCTTCTAGCCGATCAGCTGGGACTTAGGAGGCAGCAATAGATTGGGGGTGGGGCCAAATAAAAGGTAAGAATAACATGGGGGGGCGCGGGGGGGGGCAGAAGGGCCCAGCTCCCGAACAGAGAGAACCGGTTCGGTGACTTCATATCGTCACCGCTACCGGCTCGGCCGAACCGGGAGGAACCCACCACTGCACTATAAGACTATCCAAAAACTGAATTTCAAAGTTTAGATCAAGGTATCCAACATTGGTAAATTGTGGACTTCCAACTCCCAGATTTGCCCAGGCTCTTTTTAAAAACCTCCAGTGATGAAGCACTCACTTCTGGTGGCAAGGAGTTCCACTGGTTAATGGTCCTCACCGTTAGGAAGTTTCTCCTTAGTTCTAGGTTGCTTCTCCCCTTGGTGAGTTTCCATCCGTTGCTACTTGTCCTGCCTTCAGGGGCTTTGGAGAATAGGTTGACCCGCCCCTCTTCTTTGGGGCAGCCCCTCAAATATTGGAAGATGCCATCATGTCACCTCCTACTCCTTCTTTTCACTAGACTAGGTATACCTAGTTCCTGCAACAGTTCATTATATATCTATATTATTTTTAGGAGTATTTTTCCCTTTTTCTTTAAAATAGAGCAGAGATTTTGTCCCAAAGTTGCTCTTTTTCCAAAAGGAACTGGATTTTCTTGGGGTTTTTTTTCCTTTGAAGACATTTCTCTTCTCATTCAAGAAACTTCTTCAGAACTGAAGAAGCTTCTTGGATGAGAAGGGAAACATTTTCAAAGAAAACATCAAGAAAGTCCATTTGCCTTTTGGGTGGGGGGGAAACCAATTTATGATAGGTGGACTTCCACTCCCAAAACCTGGAGCATCCTGGGAGTTGAAGTCTACCCCTTAGTTGGCTCGGGAATTCTGGGAGTTGAAGTCCACCTGTTTTAGCCGGCTGGGGAATTCTGGGAGTTGAAGTCCATAGGTCTTTTAAGTTGCCAAAGTTGAAATATTCTTGCTTTAGATTTTGAAAACTTGTGATGACTTCATCTCCGGGGTCTGTTGGGCTCCAGGAGGGGGTGAAAAAAAGAACGCAAGGAAGCAGCTTCTTGCCCACCGAATGACACCCTCTTTATTCAAAAATATATTTATGAGACATTTCAGAATATACTGCGGCTAAAAGGACAGCCTGTCCCTCTAAATCTCTAAATTGATTCATGTACAGGTTTAAGAAAATGCCTCGTGGGGGCCGAGGGGACGGATCAGATCTGAGCCAAAAGACCACACAGTGCAGAGGTTGGGGGTGGGGGAGGGGTCTTCGTCACAGGTCCCGCCTCGACCTCGAAAATCCAGTGGGTTTCAATTACTGTGAAACCAAGGATGGGATAATCTGGGGGGGGTTGGAAGTGGGAACGCTGCGATTCGGACACGCTCGGTTGCACATCTGCGTGCACAAGGGGGGGGCTGCTGGGGAGGGGGCTCTACGAAGGGGATCAGCCCTACTTGCTTCCAGACTCAAAGACCACTGGAAGTTGTGCCTTCTCTGCCAAATTGGGCTGAGCTGACGGAGAACGTGGAACTCGCGGCCCAAAGCGGCCACCCTGAGAAAGGGATTTGGGGGTGGGGGTGGGGATGGGAATGGATCTGGGCACCAAGCAGAAAGCCCAACCCTTCCATGTAAGGGATTTGATCAAAGGTCTTCTAAAGCGGGGGTCTCTAACCTTGGCCATTTTAAGACTGGTGGACTTCAACTCCCAGAATTCCTCAGCCAGCCATGCCTGGGGTTTTTGTTTTCTGCCACTCCAGAGAGATTGCAGAGGAAAGGATTACAAGAGAGTAAGCAGGCCACAAGGTTGCTACGCATAAAAAGGAATGCATTAGTGCCGGGGGATTCTGGGAGTTGAAGTCCACGTCTTTAAAGTGGCCAAGTTTGGAGACCCCCCTCAAGAGGTGACATTTTCTGTTCATAGCTTCAAGCTAGGTTGCACTCTGCTGTTGGGCTCATTTTCTGCTTTACATCATCCAGAATATAGTGTTTCTCAACCTTGCTGGAAAATGGGTGGACTTCAACTCCCAGAATTCCCCAGCCGGCCGTGCCTGGATATATATATTTTTTTCTGCCACTCCCTTGAGCGGAGAGATTGCAGAGGAAAGGATTACAAGAGAGCGAGCAGGCCACAAGGGGGCTACGCATGAAAAGGAATGCATTAGTGCCGGGGAGTTCTGGGAGTTGAAGTCCACGAGCGTTAAAGTTGCCAGGGTTGGAGACCTTCGCTCTAAAGATAGAGGAGAGAGGATGACTCCTACGGCCACCAAATATGCGAAGAAGAGCAGAAAAGCCCCCCTCCCCATCCTCGGTGGGGGATCTCATGGCGAAATGAATGCTTGCATTTGCTATGTTAGCTGCTGTTGCAAAATGGAAAGCACCCACATGCAGGGGATAGTCTGACCTGCGGGTAGATCCAGGGCCATGGGCTCTGTTGCAAGGGGGCAGCGGAAAATGTACCCACTGACTATCCCTCTCCTTCCCGCAGACTGGGAAGGGAATTGATTGGCAAGTTCCACAGCTTTGGAGAATAAGAGGAGGGGAGATGCTTTACTAAAGCCCATCAATTTGAACCTTCCACGCTTACCCTGTTTAATGCTGTGGAAGGAGAGATCTGGGAAAATGGGGAGGGGGAGCAGGAGGGGCTTTTGCTGATCCCTCCAGGTCCCAGGGCTGAAAGCAGAGGAAAGGGCCACCCGAGCTGATTTGGGGGAGGGGGGGGAGGTGATGTGGGTGTCCCAGTGAAGCGGGGAAGCAGCTCCCCTGGGCTGATCCGTCAAGCAGCTGCCTCTGCCATTCCTGACTCACAGGTCCCCCCCCCTCAAAAAAAATCGACACTGACCCACCCCTCAAAACAATCCAGTTTTTGTTTTGTTTTTTGTCAAATACAGAAGAAAAATAAAACCAACACAGAACTCAAAAATTCTTCGAAGGCTCTGGGCACACATGATTTGTGACCCCCGGAAGTGCCCAGAATTTTCCTCCAGAAAGACGCCTTTGGCCCCCCTCCCCAAAACAAGAGGCGGTGCCCTTCGGTGTCCACCTTCCTTCCCGCCCGCTCTGCCCCCCTGGTCACCCGGCTGGACGCCAGCCCCAGTGGAGATGGAGATGGGCGCAGGGCGGGGTCTCTGCCCGTCCCTTCCGAGCTCAGCTTCCCGCGAGGATCCCTCATCCTGACGAAAGGGGTCTGGTACTGGTGCCGGGGCAGGTGGGCAGGCAAGGCAGACCCTCCCCTCCCCCCCCAGTTTTGTGTCCTAGTCAGTAGAGAAAAGGTCCCCGGCGGAGGGGAGAGGTGCCAGCCCGCCTGTAACGTTGGGCAGCAGCGAGAGGTCCGGCAGGCTCTGGATGTGGGACTTCAGCTCTTTGCGCACCTGGGTGACTCGGGCCAGTTTCTGCTTGTATTCCTGCAAAGGGAGGGAGAGGGAGACAGAGGGAGGGGAGAGTCATTCATTTGCTCATCTCATTTATTTTGTCACCTTTCTGGACTTTGGTGGAAGCCCTGAACTGCCCACCTCCCTCAAACAAGAGACTCTTGAGCGCTAAAAGGTCAGAATGCAAAAACGGTCCCTAAAAATCAAAACATTTTGCTTTTTGTTATAGGAATGGCTTGCACCTGCCATTGTGTAAAAGCAAAATGTTGTGGTTGTAATGTTATCTTCTCCTGTGCTAAAGAGAGTCAGAAGTCGGTGCCTTTTTCCTTCTTTTTCTTCCTTCCTTTCTGTCCTTTTCCCTCCCCCTCTCCTTAGTTTCCCACTACTTTTTTAAAATTTTTCTTTTTTTGTTTTGAAAAACCAATAAAATCATATATAAATAAGTAAGACTTCCCAGATGCGCACTTTAAAAAAAAAAATCAAAATCAAAAATTTAAGACCCAAAGGTGCTTTATTTTCCCCTCCCCCAAAAGACAACTGGATTTTTGTTTTTCCTTGAAGACGTTTCGCTTCTCGTCCAGGAAGCTTCTTCAGTGCTGGATGACTTCTTCATTGGAGAAGTTACTTGGATGAGTAAGGAAACGTCTCAGTTTTAATAAACTTTGCTCCAGGTGCCATGATTTAACCTTTTAAGACAAGGGCCCCCAACACCCACCCACCCCCAGGTCCGTGAACCAGCCTGAAACCGGGCTGCGAAAGCCCCATCCACGGGATGCAGGGCAGCACACGAAAACCAGCCCCCCCCCCTCTGGTCCATGGAAAAGCCTCTCTCCGCGCAACTGGTCCTTGGTGCCCAAAAGCTTTTAAGATACTGATGGAGGGTCATCTCTCAGCTACATCCACCTGACACCCTCCCCCCCAAGTGGGGAGGCAGAGGCCGTTACAGATCCCCCTCTCTTAAGGAGGTCCATCTGGTGGGACCAAGGTGAAGGGCCTTCTCCGTGGTGGCTCCTTCCCTGTGGAACTCCATCCCTGCTTAGATAAGATCGGACAACCACCTTCGCTCTCTTTTGAAAGGCCCGGAAGACGGGATTCCGCCAGCGAGTCTGGAGACCAGAGGTGGCATTTCAGCCGGTTCGGACCGATTCCCTTGAACCGATGGCAGAGACCGCAGGTGGGCCTGATCACCCGCCCTGGCGCTATGCCCTCCTATTTAGCCACGTTTCCACGTAAGAATGTCTGAAACCCACCGCTTCTGGAGACCCCAGGGAGATCAAGGGGTTGGTGTGATTGTTGTCACCAGGAGGGTGGGGGGTTTCGTTGAGTTTTGTGCCGGTGGTTTTACTTCTCTGGAGTTATCATGAGAGGATTGGGCAGCCACCTGAATTGCCTTAATGAATGAATGAATGAATGAATGAATGAATGAATGAATGAATGAATGAATGAATGAAGCTGTAAAATGCACCCCAAGCACAGCACTATCAAACCACAGCACAGACGTGGCCATCACTCAGAAGAGTCGTGCCACACACACACACACACCGGCTTTTGGAAGGAAGGCCTTACGCCGGCCCCGAAGAAGCCGCGGCTCCAGGAAGCTCTGATCTGCGCTCTTAGCACAGCTATGGGGATCTAAGAGGAGAGATGGGGCAGTCGCAAAAAACCTGCACAAGGAAGGAAAGAAGGAGGGAGGGAGGAGAAGGAAAGAAGGAGGGAGGGAGGGAGGGAAGGAAGGAGGAAAAAGGAAAGAGCTGAGGAAAGGAAAGGAAGGAGGGAGGGAGAAGGAAGGAAAGAAGAAAGAAAGGAAAGAGGAAAGAGAAGGGAAGGAAGAAAAGAAGCAAAAAAAGCAAAAGGAAGATAGGATCATCTGTTTCTTAAAATTAGCAGCATAACATACAGATAAATCACTAATAAAGTAGGGCAGTATGAAGTGGCTGCTTTTGTGAAATAAATGTCTCTAAGAAGCATTTATCCCTCAGAGACAGAGACTCCCACAGGCTTCCTGTGGGCTAAAATACGTCTATTAATGGCAGCTTTTAAACTATTTATAACCCTTGCAGCAGAAAGAGCTCCCAAGTCATCTGCCCAGCTCTATTTCGGCTGCTGTGGCAGGGAGCCCGGGAGGTGGCAAAGGTAGGGAAGAGAATGGCAGGGGTTCACACAGTCAATGTTTTCCAAAACACACACACACACACAGGGCCCTTTCTGTCCCTCTGCACATCTCTCTCCGTAAGGCCCTGACTCGGTTTGAGGCCGGTGGGCAGAAAAGAGCAGCCCCCGTCCGCAGACGGAAGAGGAATGAGTTAATAGCTGAATCGGGAGTTTCATTTGGGACGGAGGAATCTCTCTGAACATCTCTGGAGATTCTCAATCATCCAGGCCACGGTTGTCCCAAAAGTGTTTTTTTTCTTTTCTTTTCTTGAAAAGGACTTCAGTTTTTGCTTTTTCTTAGAAAACGAGAAGCTTCAGAACGGAAGAAGCTCCTTGGATGAGAAGCGAAACATCTTCAAGGAAAAAACAAAGCCCAGTTGCCTTTTGGGGGGGGAAAAAATGACCCTTTGGATTCTCTGAACATCCTGGTGGGAAAAAAGGATGATACAGCTGAGATTACACATTATTCCCTATCTGAAACTGGCCTTCTAGTCAAGACGGAGGCTGCCCGGGGACGGGGAGGGGAGGGGAGGGGAGGGAGGAAGGAAGGAAGGAAGGAAGAAAGGAAGGAAAAGGAGGGAGAAGGGAGGGAGGAGGAAGGAAGAAAAAGGAGGAAGAGAAAGGGAGGGAGAAGGAAGAAAAAGGAGGAAGGAGGCAGGCAGGAAGGAAGGCAGCAGAGAGGAAGGAAGGAAGGAAGGAAGGAAGGAAGGAAGGAAGGAAGGGAGGGAGGGAGGGAGGGAGGAAAGAAAAGGAGGGAGAAGGGAGGGAGGAGGAAGGAAAAGAAAAAGGAGGAAGGAGAAAGGGAGGGAGAAGGAAGAAAAAGGAGGGAGGAGGCAGGCAGGAAGGAAGGCAGAGAGGAAGGAAGGAAGGAAGGAAGGAAGGAAGGAAGGAAGGAAGGAAGGAAGGAAGGAAGGAAGGAAGGAAGGGAGAGACCGAAGAGCGAGGGAGAAAAAGGAAGAGGATAAGAGGAGCGAGGCAGATGCAATGTATTGCTCTTCCTTGTCCCAAATCCGAGAGGACGAGGGGTGAATCAGGCAGAAGAAGGAGAACAGATCTAACACATCTAAAATAATAGCAAGGTTTTCATTTGTATGTCTTGGCTCAATTCGTATTCTGTCTTTGCTGGAGGCAGCCCCTCCCTCCCACTCCTTCCCCTGGGGCCTAAGGGAGACCCTCACCTCCTTCCTCCTGGTCTCTTAAAGGCCTTGTTCTTAACCTCAGCAACTTCAAGATAGGCGGAGTTCAACTCCCAGAATCCCCCAGCCAGCTCTCTCTCTCTCTCTCTCCCCTTTTCTTTTTTCTTCCTTCCTTCCTTCCTTTCAAAGGGAAATGACACGAAGGCTTTACCCTCAAGCAAAACGTGCTAGGAGCTTTTCTGCAATTCTTCAGCTACAGGTAGCCCTTGTCTTATGACCATAATTGAGCTCAAAATTTCTGTTGCTAAGTGAGACGTTGCTTAAGTGGGGTTTGCCCCATTTCACAACTTTCCTTGCCACAGTTAAGTGAGTCACCGCAGTTGTTAAGTCGGCCAGGCGGTTGTTAAGTGAATCTGGCTTCCCCATGGACTTTGCTCGTCGGAAGGTCGCAAAAGCGGATCAGGTGTCCCCCGGGGACACTGCAACCGTCGTAAATACGAGTCAAGTTGCCAAGCGTCTGAATTTTGATCACCTGACTATGGGGCAGTTGCAGTGGTCGTTAAGTGTGGAAAACAGCTATTATGTATGTTGACCTGTAGGAAAGTGGGTTAGTTTACTGATTGTTTAGTTTAGGAAAAGGGATATTATGTTATATTAATATATGTAAAAGATTTGAATTAAGAGATATATGTATGGGGGAGGAGGAAATGGATAGATTATGAGTTGAAATTGCTAAATTAGGATTTATTATATAGCTTTACAGCTGAATGTTGCTTTGAATGTTGCTTTGAAATGTATAGTATAAGGGGGATATAATAATATTGATTATGAGTTGAATAGATGAAATTGTTAAATCAGAATTTATTATATAATTTTACAATTAAATGTTGCTTTGAAATGCATAGTATAAGGGGGATATAATAATATTGTTAGAAAGAAAGGGTTAGTATATGGGGGGTGGAATAAAAGGATGGTAAAGTATTATATAATCTGTTATTAACTTGGGTTTTATTTTGGAGAAGCCACGGGGGGAGGGGAGGGCGAGGGGGGGTTAGGGAGGAGGGGGGGAAAAGGGGGGGGGGAAATTTGTATTTGAAAAACTTTTTCAATTAAAAAAAAAGTGTGGAAAACAGCTGTGAGTCAATTTTTTCAGTGCCGCTGCAACTTCAAACGGTCACTAAACAAAATGGCTGTAAGTCGAGGACTACCCATACAGGGGAAACCAGGGGAATCCCATGGAAGCGATCATGGGAACACAAGAGAAGTGCACAGCTCTGTTCGGAGGACCTCTCTTCTCCCCCCCCCCCCCGGGTCCTGCGCATAGCTAGAAACACGCAGGAAAAAAATAGTTGTCAGAACCGAGGCTTCCATGGGGATCAGCCCTTTGATCTCGTCTCATGGAGACCTGCAAAACTCCACAAAAGGCAGAGATCCTTGGAAACCCTAACAGGGAAACCGGTCCGTCCCCCCCCGGGCTCCCAGACTCTGCTGGAATAGTCAGTCTCCATCCACAAGAGATTTCAAAATCCCCTTAAAAGGAAGCGACTTCAAGCCAAGATGCAGCCGGACCCAGAAATTAACTTCGGCTCGTAAAGGCCCCACCAAAGCATCAGAAACGCAGGGGTCACCCAGGGGCTCCGGCCCAGCGCTAACTGGCAAGGGAATTTCAGCTTTTTAAAGAGTCTACAGAAAAAACAGTGGGCCCCCTCCAAGAAAATGAAATTTAAGAGCACCAGGAATAGCCCTTAAAGACGGTTATAGCCCTTCACGGTGCTTTCACAGCCCCCTCTATGCGGTTTACAGAGTCAACCTCTTTGTCCCCAACAATCTGGGTCCTCATTCTACCCACCTCGGAAGGACGGAAGGCTGAGTCAACCTTTAGGAGGGAGGGAGGGAGGGAGGAAGGAAGGAAGGAAGGAAGGAAGGAAGGAAGGAAATGGGAAAGGCAGGAAGGTAGCAATAGCACTCACTTATATACCACTTAAAGTGCTTTACAGCCCCCTCTGAGCATCTGGATTTTGGCCACGTGACTGAGGAGATGCTGCAACGGTCGTAAGTGTGAAAAACAATCCTAAGTGCTGTTTTAACTTTGAGCAGGCACTAAACGAACTGTTGTAAGTCAAGGACTATCTGTGCTCAACTGAGCCCCAAATTATGGTCTTTAGCTTACAGCCGTCGTAACACAGTAGTCCTTGACTTACATCATTACATTACACCACCAAAAGGGAGCCCAGAATTTGAGTCGTTTAGTTGTTGCTCTCGTAAAACGAGGCACCTTCCCGTGCAATCCAAGCTCTCCGCATCGCAGTCGTTATGCAGAGCACGGGCTGCCTGAGGGGCTGGGAGAGGCCCTGGGTTGCTGGAGGAACGGTCATAAGGAGTTTTTACGCCTTCTGGAAACCGCCTGTGCTGGGGTGTGAGCATCTCACATTTTTCTTGATCTGGCTGAAAAACAGAGTAAATAAAACTCGTTTTTTCCAGCAGATCCTTTTGAACCTTCCCAAAGGGAACCCGCGACCCTTCGCTTTCTCCGTCTGTGGTTTCCATGGATGCCTTTCTGGCCCCCCTTTTTGGGCAGCCCCCCCCCCGCCCCCGCCGGGAGCGAGTTCAGGCGTGACTCGCGCCTGGGAAAAGCGGTCCCAGTCAGAGGGGTCCAGGAGTCCAGGACCATTTCAGGCCTCCCGGGTCAAGAAACATGATGAATCCATGCAGGCGTTTTTAGGGGAATCACACGGATCTGCAATCGGCGTGGGCCAAGGAACGACCAAGTCAGCAGCAACCTCTAAATTTGAATTTTAACAATTAAATCGCCAGGCCCGGTCCCAGAGAGAGGAGAATTAACTACTCGTGTTTTCCTGAAAATAAGACCCGGTGTTATTTTCTTTTGGGCCCCAAAATAAGCACTAGGGCTTATTTTCGGGAAAACACGATTTCAGGGTGATCAGCCCGGCTGAGTGCCCTGACCCCCCGAAGCACGCACAAGAGCCGGCAAGCGTACGGGGACCAACGGTATCCAGCAGCAGCTGCAGCCCACTGGTCCCTCGGTCGGTGCACTCTGGGGCTGCGTAGAGCGGAAGGCAGGAGATCCCGATAGACGTGAAAATGATAAGACGTGAAGCTGAGCCTCCCATGGCTGCCTGCCGTCCGGCCCACCGCCGATCAGCTTTCCTGCGGTGTGTCCGGATTGCCTGCCTTCCCCCGCCTGCCTCTGCCTGCAGCCGGCTGCCACTCCGGCCGACCGCCGCTCGGCTTTCCCACAGCACGTCCAGATCGCCTGCCTCCTCCTCCCACCTCTGCTTCTGCCTGCTACTTGCACAGGTGCTCAACTCACCTGTGCTGCACGGGTTGCGGCTGCTGCCGGATACCGTCAGCCCATGCGTGCTCGCCCACCCACCCCTTCACTGGGGTTTATTTTTTGGGTAGGGCTTATATTAGGTGCACATGTTTTAAAAAAATCAGGCTGGGGCTTAATTTCGGGGTAGGTTGTATTTTTGGGGAAACACGGTATTTTAATAACTGGATAGCTGAAGAATTACTTGGGAACGTTTGAAACGTAGACAACGGACGGTAGAAAACGAGCCAGCGGTCCAGCGAGTTTGACCCTTTGAGTTTCAGTTTATTCTTTTCAAATTCTGGTCGGATGATGGGCGTGCGTTTATCCCGAGCATGTTTAAAACTCAGATAAATGAACCACTATCTCTGCTGGAAGTTGGCTCCAAGCTTCCTCTTTCCGCGAAGTCCTGTTTTCTAAGATCTGGGACGATCACAAGAGATCCAGATGTTTCCCTTATTTGGTTAGGTATTAAAGCCCTCTGACAAAATTAATGTTGGTCTATTAATGTCTGCTGTACACTCATCTCACGACAGATGTTTCTGCTGCAGGTACAGGCAGTCCTCGACTTACGGCCGCAATTGAGCACAAAATTTATGTAGTTCAGCGAGACTTTTGCTAAGTGAGATTTTCCCCGGCTCACAGCTTTCCTCGCCACATTTGTTAAGTGAGTCACTGCAGTCAATAACCTGGTTGTTAAGTGGATGTGGCTTCTCCGTTGACTTTGCTTGGCAAAAGGTCACAAAAGGGGATCATGTGACCCCAGGGCATGGCAACCGTCATAAATAGGAGTCGATTGCCAAGAGTCTGAATTTTGATCATGTGACCACGGGGATGCTGCAACGGTTTTTTTCTTTTAAAAGCCTCTGATGATCCCAGCTGAGTTGCCTGATCGGCAGAGGCTTTTTTTTTTCTTTTAAAAACATTTTTTCTACAACCTCTTCGGCCGAAGTTGTAAAAAAAATGCTTTTAAAAGCCTCTGGCGATCCCAGCTGAGCTGCGTGATCTTCAGAGGCTTTTAAAGGCATTTTTTTCTACAACTAGACTGTGCAGTCTCTCTGGGTCATATAACATATGTGGGTATATGCATAATTTTGTATTTATTTATTTATGTCATGGTTACAAAGTGTATATTGGAGGTGGTGACCCTTTGAAAGCTGTACGCGATGAAATTTCATTTTAATGGATGCCGATTACTGTACATTCAAAGTGACAGCAAAGTTATTATTCTATGCTATGCTATGCTATGCTATGCTATGCTATGCTATGCTATGCTATGCTATGCTATGCTATGCTATGCTATGCCATGCCATGCCATGCCATGCCATTCCACGCTATGCTACACTGGCTCAGGAATTCTGGGAGTTGAAGTCCATAGGTCCCAAAGTCATGACGGGGGCCCACAACTACTCAAGAGTGTCTGCTGAAGCCCTGACAGTTTGCCAAGGATGACACCACCCCTGGCAGAGGGCCCGGGCAAGCAGGACAATGAGAGACCTTCCCGTGTCTGCTCCAATGTGCCATGAAGACCAGGCCTGTTTCGGAACGATGACCCAGGTGATGTCCTGTCCTGCTTGTCCTAGAGAGCCCCCAAGCAGTCAGTTTCAATCCCTTCCCCCCAATGGGCTTCTGCAAGGCGTGGGGAGGCTGGCCAACTCACCCCTCCCCAAGGCCACCCAGGCCTGGATCTTGAAGAATGCCAGGAGGGTGGGAAGGGTACCACTGTGATGGCCTGTCGCCCGCCGGCCCCTCCAGAAGCCGAATCAGAGGAGGAGGAGGAGGAGGAGGTGTGGGAGTCAAGGTCAGCATCAAGGCAAGCTGAGAGCTCCGAGGGGGGAGAGGGAATGGACCTGGCACAGAGAGAGAGACAGAGGCAGAGCCTGGGCCGTCCGTCAGCCCTCAGATGAAGAGTCAACAGCTCCCAGGAGGTCTGGAGGTGGCTGATGAGGAAGAGGAGGAACAGCTGGGTCCCGTAACTGACGTGCGGATGTGCAGAAAACAGAGGAGAGGAGAGCAGTGGAAATCTATGGGCTGGTCCTTGAGATGGAAGAGCCACCGCTGCTAGCGAAGCCCCACTCTAGCTCTGGGGATAAAAGGCAGCGGGCGGAGATGAATAGGTGTGGCAGACAATTATTCATCTCCCTGATGGACAGACTTGTCAGCCTGCAGTGAGAGAGAAACTTTTTGCCGGGGCTGCTGGCGCTCCTAATAAAGGAATCATTGCTTCGACTACCGAGGGTTTCGTCATGTTTGGGGAGCTGGTTCAGAACAGCCAAGCTCACCTCTAGCTTCTTCTCCTTCTCCGTCAGCACATCCTTCTGGGTCTGCGTGTATTCAATCAGCATGCGTGCCAGCTGGCGCCGGTCTTCCAGTTCCGCCGCTAGCCGCCCGTTGTATTCTGCCAGCAGCAAACACGCCTCGTCCACCGTCTTCGACAGCCGCTCCGCCGCCTCTTTGTCTGCGCACGGAAGCGGTAAGCGCGTTACAGGGAGGCCACACTAACAGCTTCTGCGTTGCTGACAAGCAGTGGCCGTCCTTCTCTACACACCAACAACCACACAGCACGGGGAGTTCTCAACTTACAAGAGCCCAAAATTTAGCTTTGCTAAGCGAGACACTGGTTAAGTCAGTTTTGCCCCGTTTCCCTAATGGGGTTTTTTTTTTGGCTGGAAATTGGCAAGAAAACGTGATAAATTGCAATTACATGACAGCAGGACAGCACAACCAGTTGTAAATAGGAGCCAGTTGCCAAGCATCCAAATTGTGATCGTGTGATCTTGAAAGGGGGGTGTTGCGATAGTGTTTGACCATTGTCAAATGTGACCTTAGGCTGTGGCTTCTTCAAGAGCCAATGGAATTCCAAACTGTCAATAAACAAATGGCGGTTGAGAAGAACTTATACCCTTGGGTGGGGAATTATGGCCCTTTTATGACTTGTGGACTTCAACTCCCAGAATTCCTGAGCCAGAAATTCTGGGAGTTGAAATCCACAAGTCTTTTTTTTTTTTTTTTTTGAATCAAGTTTTATTGAATTTTTCCCTCCACATTCACCCGCATCTTTTTTTTTTTGAACAGCGTATTGGCCATATCTTGTCTTATACAATTTTTCAGATTTCAAATACATTTTACTCAATTACAATTTTGCCAAAATCTTCCCTTTTTTCCCTATTTTCCACTATGGTGTCCAAGCAACCCCGACCTTTCTTTTATTTATTAAAATATATTTCTCAAAATCCCTCTTATCTTTTTAATTATTAACAATATATGTTTATAAATCACATCTTAATCATTTCTATTTTCCCCCTGACCTAATTAATTCTTAATGTAATCTTAATTTGCCTTTTCTTCAATTCTTAATTGCAGTGTTGGAGGTTTATAAAATGGTAAGTTGTAATAATATGGATAAATTTAATTGGTGGGATTATAATTGTAATATTTTAAATTATATATTTGAAATGTAATCAAATCCACAAGTCTTAAAGGGGCCATGGTTCTCCACCTCTGACTTCTCCCATTCACCTTCCTGCTGAAAGCCTTAACCAGAGATCCCCAAACTTGGCAGCTTTAAGACTTGTGGACGTCAACTCCCAGAATTCTCCATCTGATGTCTACAAGCCTTAAAGCTGCCAAGTTTGAAGACCTCTGGTTAAGACTTTCAGCAGGAAGGTGAATGGGAGAAGTCAGAAGTGGAGAACCATGACCCCAGCTCTTAACACACCCAGGAACCCTTCCAAGTTTATTTAGGTTTCTCTCAGCCGACCGGCTCCGGCCCTCGGATCAGAGGCTCACCTGTGATCTTCTCCAGCAGGGACACATCCTGAACCTCCTGGGGAAGAGAAGCGATCTTCTGCCGCACAGTGGCATCGCCCGAGGCTGCGTTCTCCAAGTCTTGCAGGGCTTTGATCAAGTCCTCCGCCTGCCCGGGGGAGACAGAACAAGATGCCCGCTGTGGCTTCCCCAGAGACACCCCACCGCTCTGCTTCTGGCGCCTCTGCCCCAAAGCACTGCCCACCCCCACCCACCTCCGCAGGCACTCACTGTCAGGAGGAACAAAGGTGCCTCAGATGGGCCTCTGGGGTCATCCGGAGTCCCCTAGGCTGCCCGTGCAGGTAATAGAATAAGAGAGTTATAAAGATGGGAGGGACCTTCCATGGAGGGCTTCTAGTCCAACCCTTTGCTCAGCCAGGGGTCTCCAAAGTTTAACACTTGTGGACTTTAATTGCCAGAATTCTGGGAGTCTTTCTTTCTCTTTCTTTCCTTCTCTCTTTTCTTCCTTTCCTTCCATCTTCCATCTTCCTTTCCCTTTTTTTTCCTTTTTCCTCCCTCCCTCCTCTTTCTTTCTCTTTCTTTCCCTCTCTCTTTTCTTCCTTCCCTTCCATCTTTCTTTCTCTTCCTTCCTTCTTTTTCTTTTTTCCTTCCTTCCTTCCTCCCTCCCTCTCTCTTTCTTTCTTTCTTTTGAATTCTGGGAGTTGAAGTCCACACGTCTTAAAGCTGCCAGGTTTGGAGACCCCTGCCCTATACCATTCCTTTCTTTCTTTTCTTCCTTCCTTTTTTTTCTTTCCTTCTCTCTCTCTCTCTCTCTCTTTTTTTAATTTGATTTATATGCTGCCCTTCTCCGGAGACTCAGGGCGGCTTACAATGCGCTAAGCAATAGCCTTCATTCTTTTGTATATTTATACAAAGTCAGCTTATTGTCCCCATAACTCATTTAACCTACCTTAGAAAGGATGGAAGGCTGAGTCAACCTTGAGCCTTGGCGAGATTCGAACCTGCAGTAATTGCAGGCAGCTGTTCTTAATAACAGGGTGCTTTAGACCACTGTACTACCAAGGCTTCTTCCTTCCCTTCCATCTTTCTCTTTCTTTTCTTCCTTCCTTCCTTCTTCCCTCCTCCCTCCCTTCCTCTCTCTCTCTCTTTCTTTTGAATTCTGGGAGTTGAAGTCCACACGTCTTAAAGCTGCCAAGTTTGGAGACCCCTGCCCTATACCATTCCAGAGAAATGGCTGTCCAATCTCTTCTTGAAGACCCCCCATGATGGAGAACCCACAATCTCCGGAGGCAGACCGTTCCACTGGGTAATAGTTCTCCCTGTCAGGAGGGGGACAGCCCTCTCTCTGCCTGCATATTTACCTGCCCAGGTGACACTCAGCCAAGCTCCATGAGCTTGGAAGGAGTGGTTAGGTCGACGTTCGCTAAAACCTTCCTCAGAGGAACCAGGGAAGCAGCTAGGCTTAAAAATGCAGCTTAGGGTTTCCTTGAACACTTCTTTGGGACTGACTCAGCTTACAACCAAAATCAGGACCAGAATTTCCATGGCTCAACAAGGTGGCTCTTAAGTGAGTCATGCCAAGCTTGATGACTTTTTGCCATAATTGTTTTTCATTTATTCCATCCCAACTATTTTTATAAATAATTCAAGGCAGCCAACATAACTAATATTCTTCCCTCCTCCTCCTCCTCCTCTATTCCTCACAACAACAACCCTGTGAAGTGGGCTGGGCTGAGACAGAGAGAGAGAGAGGGACTGGCCCAAAGTCACCCAGCTGGCTTTCGGGGCTAAAGCAGGACTAGAATTCACAGCCTCCTGGCTTTCTTTTTCGTTAAGCGAATCACCAAAGTTGCTAAGTGAATCCTACGGTCATTAAGTGAGTCCCGCTTCCCCCACTGCTTTGCTTGTCGTAAGCTGGCCGGGAAGGTCACAAAGGGTGACCATGTGACCCTGCAACCATCCTAAATACATGCCAGTGGCCTGAATTTGCGTCATGGGATTATGGGAAGACGTTGCAATGGTTGTTAATGCGAGGACTGATCGTTAAGTCACTTTTTTACAGCACCACTGCAGCTCTGAACGAGTGGTGTGGTGGCCTAGAGGTGGAGCTCTCGCCTCACAATCAGGAGGTTGTGAGTTCGATCCAAGGTAGGGGCAGATATTTCTCTCTCTGGGCACACAGAGAATGTATCTGCTGAATATAACTCCGCATTGGTGACAGGAAAGGCATCCGGCCAATAAACACTAAACTCCATTCAGTTGCCCCGATTCTACCCCGATGCAAGGGATTATGGGGTCATTAAAAGAAGACCGTAATTCTAAAAGAATGGTTGTAAGTTGAGACTACTTGTACACATGAAAGGGAAAAGGGGGGGGGACTCAGTGTTGTAATATTTAAACAAGGGCTATCAAGAATCTTGATGACCTGCTCAATTCCTTTCTCAAAAATTCTTAATATTCCACACATTTGGCAAGCTATGAGAGAGCCTTCTCCAGCCTGCTGTTGAGGAGCGTTGGTTCCTCTCCAAGAGTTCAAAGGCCGTGTTTCTACGGGGGGGGGGGCCAAAACTTTTGGGGGGGGGCCGGTCCTTGAAAGTTCAAAGGAAGACCGGTGCTTTTCAGAGATCTTCTCCTTAATTTGCATGGTTTTCCTTTGAAGCCCGACATCTGCAAAGTGTCCTCCTCGGTGGAATAAATGGAATTTAAGGCCGCGGCTCCATCCTAAGAGGCCCCTCCAAGAGGGAGCGGGATAAAGCTGCTTTTCTGCTTAGCGGAAGGATAAGCTGCCTTTCAAGCCCTTGGCCCTTTTAAGGGGAGATGGGCCACAAGACACCCCCCCCCCCGGGGGTGGAGGGGAGATGGCGTTAAAGGCTCTGCAAGGTGCCGCAGATTTGCCAGGGAACGCAGGGCAGGCAGCCAGACCAGCAACTGGGAGATAACTGGTCTTATCTGGCCAGGTCTTGAAATTCCGGCCTCAGTTATTTCGGAGAAATTCCAGGGATGAGATTCCACTGCTGCCCTCACTGCTCACCCAGGTGGCAGCTGCCCACAATTTGCCTTCTGGAGCACATTCAGCCCTTGCAAAGCGGCCCCTCCGAAGGCCTGGAGGGCCTCACAGCAGGCGGTCCAGGTGCTCAGCAGAAGGAAAAAAAGAGAACCTGCTTACCAGAATCCGCATCACACCTGATGCTGGTTTATAATGGAGACCTACATTGGTCTGCCTCTAATCAAGGTTGACTCAGCCTTCCATCCTTTCTAAGGTAGGTGAAATGAGGACCCGGTTTGTGGGGGGCAATAAGCTGACTTTGTATAAATATACAAAAGGATGAAGGCTATTGCTTAAAGCCTTGTAAGCCGCCCTGAGTCTTCGGAGAAGGGCGGCATATAAATCAAATTTAAAAAAAAAAAATCACCTACCTTCTCTCTCTCCATCTCGCTATCAAGTCTCTCTGTCTCTCTCTCTGTGTGTCTCATCTACCGATGTACCCATGTCTACAGTGGTAGGACTCAAATTTTTTTACTACCGGTTCTGTGGGCGTGGCAGGGGAAGGTTACTGCAAAATCCCCATTCCCTCCCCACCCCATTAACCTGCTTTCCGGCTCCCTTCTCCTGTGCAGGGCAACAAAAGAAGACCCAGCTGATCAGCTGGGGAGGCAGAGAATAGGTGGTGGCAGGGCCAGCCAGAGGTGGCATTTGCCGGTTCTCCGAACTACTCAAAATTTCCGCTACCGGTTCTCCAGAACTGGTCAGAACCTGCTGAAACCCACCTCTGTATTTCTATCTATCATCTTATCTAATCACATAGGAAAGAGGGATGGCATAAAAAATGTAATCAAAAAATAAAACCTACCTTCTACCTCCCTCTCTCTATAACAGGGGCCTGGATAGCTCTGCAGACAAAGGCACTGTAATTTAACACCAGCTGTCTGCAATTACTGCAGGTTCGAATCTCTCCAAGGCTCAAGGTTGACTCAGCCTTCCATCTTTTCTAAGGTAGGTAAATTGAGGACCCAGATTGTGGGGGCAATAAGCTGACTTTGTATAAAATATACAAAAGGATGAAGGTTATTGCTTAGCGCATTGTAAGCCGCCCTGAGTCTCCGGAGAAGGGCGGCATATAAATCAAATTAAAAAAAAACAAAACCTACATCTATCACTAGGGGACGCGGTGGCCCAATGGCTAAGACGCTGAGCTTGTCGATCGAAAGGTCAGCAGTTCGGCGGTTCGAATCCCTAGTGCCACATAACGAGGTGAGCTCCCTTTACTTGTCCCAGCTTCTGCCAACCTAGCAGTTCGAAAGCAGGTAAAAAATGCAAGTAGAAAAATAGGGACCACCAGATACGGAGGATCCCGGATCTGCGCACCTTCTGCCACGCTCTTAAGACCTTTTTATTCCATCAGGCTGGCCTGGCCTAATCTTTTTCCTTTCCCCCCTTTTTAAAATGTAAATTTTAATCTGTTTTAAATTATTGGGGTGTTTTAAATCTGTCTTGGGCCAAATTGTTTAATTCGGTTTTACTTTGCTTTTAAATTTTGTATTTGTGTGTTTTATCTTGTGGCTGTTCACCGCCCTGAGTCCTTCGGGAGTAGGGTGGTATATAAATCAAATGAAATGAAATGAAATGAAAAATGAATGAAAATGGTGGGAAGGGAACAGCGTTCCGTGCGCCTTTGGCGTTGAGTCATGCCGGCCACATGACCACGGAGACGTCTTCGGACCGCGCTGGCTCTTTGGCTTTGAAAGGGAGATGAGCAGCATCCCCTAGAGTCGGGAACGACTATGTGCGAGGGGAACCTTTACCTTTATATCTATTACTATTTCTCTCTCTCTCTCATATCTCTCTTATCATCTATCTATCTCTGATCTCTATCTCTATCTATCTTTATCATCTATCATCTATCTTTATCTTATCACCTCTACCGTTAATTTCCTACCTCTACTGACTGACTGACTGACTGACTATCTATTTTATCTACCTCTATCTCCATTTAGCTTTAATTTACCATCTCTCCCTCTCTCAAGACCTACTTTGCCTGTCTGTCTGTCTGGAGTGTGGAGAGATGCCACGCAATAACCCTCCAATGAAGGGCCAGGGGCTTTAAGCAAACGAAACACTTTCTCCTCAGCCCACTGCCTTCCAGGGGTCTCCAGCCAACTCCTCTTGCTCCCCATCAGCCGCAAGGCCCTATCCTGGCTGTGGATGATGGGCATGGGAGTCCAGCCACCCAGAGGGGCACAGAGGGAAGGGCAGGAAGGCGATCGGCTCGTCCGTCGTGCCGCGCATGTTAAGGGCTCCCCCTGGCGGCCGCTTGTGGCTCTTTCTCCCAGAGGGGCTGCCCTCTTGCCAGCGTACCAGAAGGGGCCCGGTGTTGGCATCCTGTGGGGAGTAACTGCCAGGGTAGTCGTCGTCCTCCTCTTCCTGCATCTGCTGAAACGTCCTCTTCAGGGACTTCTTCTCCTCTGTAACTGAGAAGGGAAAGACGCTTTTCATCCTTGCAGCATGAAAACACCAAAATGTGAGGTATTACCAAGTCGACCTCCAAGAGTTCCTTGCCCACGGGGCTGGGGGATTTGTAAGGAAACCGGTTACCCAGGACACGGCGTGCCCCACCCCAAAATAAGCCGTTTCTGTTCCTCTGGGTTCCCTTCAACACTGCATTAAACACACACACAGAGAGAGAGCAAACCTACAGCTGCAAAGAGCCCAGGCTCCCCTTATATCCAAGCCTGGCACGGGTGTCCTGCCCATTATACAAGCAGATTTCAGGCCTATTTCTGCCCTGTGGAACACTCCCCCCCCCCACACACACAGGTGAGCGGGCATAACGTGTAAAAACATGGCCCTGCGGCCTTGTGTGGGGCGCCCAGAGGAGCATGTAGCTGATTGGCGACCTGGAAGCCCGCCCTTTGTGCCTTTTAATTAACTTTTAATACTGAATTTTAATCATCCTCACTTTATTTTTCAATTTTATATACTGTTTTTATGTTTTAATATTTTAGTTGTATATTGCCCAGAGTTCCCCCTCTCAGGGAGATGAGATAGACAGATAGATACAAACTCGAGGTAAACCGCTCCAAACTCGATTGCAGAAAATACGACTTCCGTAACAGAGTGGTCCATGCCTTGAATGCACTCCCTGACTCTGTGGCTTCTTCCCCAAACAACCAAAACTTTCACCTTAGACTGTCTACTGTAGACCTCACCCCATTCCTAAGAGGTCTGTAAGGGGCATGCATAAGCGCACCAGCGTGCCTTCCGTCCCTGTCTTTACTTACTCTTTTCATGTATTTATAATTATGTTTATACTTTTACCTGTTATCTTATATATGCTTGACAAATAAATAAATAAAATAAAATAAATAAATGATAGCTTGATGGATAGATGGATGGATGGACAGACAGATAGATAGACAGGGTGGGAGGGAGGGAGGGAGGGAGGGAGGGAGGGAGGGAAGGAAGGAAGGAAGGAAGGAAGGAAGGAAGGAAGGAAGGAAGGAGAGGGAGAGGGAAGCTTAATTCAAAGGATATCGTAGATATTTTCTGCTCCCATGGAAGCCCATGGAAGACAAACCAATCACCCTGCCCTACTTGAAAGGCAAGCACACTCTACTGTTCTGCCCCAGCTCCGGATTCCTGAGGATGCTGACACACACCAACGGTCCTTATCAAATTTATTAAACCAAGAATAAACCAAAGTCCGGCAAGATTGGCAACCAGCCCAGAAAGCAAGATACAATAAGACTTTTCCAAAAATGCTCTGATGATAATTACAAGTTGTTTCCAGCAAGAAACTTACTAACGGCGTGTGACTTAAATAGGCTAAGGGAGTGGCCAATTATCCTCAAGCCTTACTCTCGAGGAGACCTCCTCCTCCTGAGGAGCCACTCCTGCCTTTTGGCAGCCCTGCATGCTCGAGCATTGAGAAGAGGCTCCTCCACTTCGCTCTCTCCACTTGAAGGAGCCTCTGGAGATTCTGAAGGCCCTGGCTGAGTCTCTGCCTCTGGCACCACATCCTCTTCAGCCTCCTCACTGTCCGACGCGAGCGCCGGCTGCGCAGGCTGCTGGCGTGACACCACACCAGCCTCCTCGTCGTCGGGATCAGCCACGATCCGCGCAGGCCGCTGGCGGGCCACAACATCTACACAACCAGAGTTTCAAGCCACCGTTTCAGTAAGTCACAACTGGCTGGGTTTATGCATAGCTCCCAGCCAAAACCAAAGCTAAGGAGGGCTCTGTGAACCTTGCCCTGGGAGATCCGAAAGCTCCCAGAGCCAAGAGTCCGGACCAGGTAAGATCAAAGAGAGACCTCTGCCCAAACACATCAATTCAACCGCTGGGACTTCACCTCCCTGTTCAGACTCACCTGCATAAGTGCACAGGACACGCAGCCGGTCAGGGGTGGGTGGTGGGAGAGACAAAGAGAGGAAGGAACGGTGGCCTTCAACTCCTCATTTCAGCTCAGGGTCCACCCGAGAGGGAAAGAGAAGGAGGACCTCAGCGTTCCTAATGCTCGAAACCCACTTTGCAATCCTGCTTGGCATAATTGGAAAATGGAATGGAGGAATGGGAGGATTGACAGAGGATTCCAACCTAGAACTAGGGAGAAATTTCTTAACAGAGCAATCAACAAGGGGAACAGCTTCCCTTCAGAAGTCGTGGGGGCTCCATCACGGGAGGTTTTCAAGAAGAGACTGGAGAACCATTTGTCTGAAGTGGTGTAGGGTTTCCTGCCTGAGCAGGGGGTTGGACTAGAAGACCTCTAAGGTCCCTTCCAATTCTGTTATTCTAATCTATTCTAACTCTGTCTATTCCTATTCCTATTCCTATTCCTATTCCTATTCCTATTCCTATTCCAATCCAATCCTGACTCCAGCTACCTGCGATTTCCCCAACAATTGAGGGGCACAAAGGCACCCAGCCGGAGTTGGCCATTCCAGAGAAACGAGTAGGCGAGCCTTCCGGTCATTATTCAAACCCTCAGATTATACCGGATGCAACATCATCCTGGCCACCCCCCAAATAAACCACCCAACCCTGCATGAGAATTTGGACGCTTTTGGGCAGGTGTGAAGGTGGAGGCAGATGGCTGGCAGCTGTAGGAGAAGGGATGCCAGGAGCCAGGCCTGGCAGAGAAGAAGCCAGCGCCGCCGCAGCAGCTGGCAGCACCGAGGGAAGACGAAGCACAAGCTGGCCCAGGGAGCTTCTGCTGCCACCCTCTACAAAAAGATTCGGTGTTTCTGGCTGCCTTCCATAGCCTCCTGAAACAGGCGGCTTCGTCTTTCACCCAGCAAGCAGGGAACGCCAGGTGTTCTAACGCCATTCTCTTTCAAGCATCGACAGAGGCGCCATGGAGGAGAAAACATCTGCAAAAGGGTTCTTTTGCATCTCAGGTCCAAGCACATGTCCTTCTGGACCAACCTTGTGTCGTCATCCCCCGTTTCTCCCCCCCCCCTCCAAGTTCCCAGGTCCTTGCTCGATTGCAAAGGGAATTCTAATCCATGCAGACACTCGTGCCAGGTTTGAAATGTGCTGCTTTAGGGTGGAGACTCGCTGAAGGTCAAATGACAGCCGAGGAGTGATATCCCCATCACTGATCTAGTCACATCCCCAAAACCACGATTAGTTCTTGGTTACCTGCAAAGGCTTCCTTTCCTGTCTGCGCTTGAAATGATATTGAGATGCAGGAAAATTGTAGAATCCTAGGGCTGGAAGGGTCCTTGGAGGCTGTCTAGTCCAACCCGCGGCCCAAGGCGGGAAACCTTATACCATTCCGGACACATGGCTGTCCAGTCTTTTCTTAAAAACCTCCCCTGATGAAGCACCCACAACTTCTGGTGGCAAGTTGCTCTACTGGTTAATCGTTCTCACTGTTAGGAATTTTCTCCTTAATTCCAGGTTGCTTCTCTCCTTGATTGATTTCCATCCGTTGCTTCTTCTCCTGCCTTCAGGTGCTTTGGAGAATAGGTGGACCCCCTCCTCTTCTTTGGGGCAGCCCCTCAAATACTGGAAGATTGCTATCATGTCCCCGCTAGCCCTTCTGTTCGTTAGTCTTTAAAAGCAAGGAACCATCTTACAGCCCTAGGAGTCTATGATTTACCCAAGCAGACTGTCCAGGCCTGGAGAGGAGGGGAGGGGGGCACCTGGGCCTACATGAAGTGGGTTGCACAGACACAAAAGCAACATTTGTTCTTATATCTCAACCAGCCAGTGTGGGTTTTCTTAGAATGAGGCCTTCTCACCAGGGGCCAGCACCCCTAAGCACCTCCTGGCCTAGGATGTAACTAAGCTCACAATTCCTTTCACGTGAAAATTATTACAAGTTTTCCCCTTCTTTTTCTCCACCTAAACTGGGTGGAAAACCTGTGTTGTGGTTTGTTTCAACCATTCAGGAATCAACCCTTGGAACACCAGCTGATTTCTAGTTCCCTTCTTGGCCATGGCAGCTGCCGCCTCTCGGGACCTAGAAATCCACCCAAGGTGTCATATACAGGTAGCCCTCGACTTACAATGTTCACGTTTTGTGAACAAAGTTGCAACGGCACTGCAAAAATGTGACCGAGGACCGTTTTTCACAGTTACGAGCTTTGCAGGGATCAAAATTCAGAAGCTTGGCAGCTGGTTCATATTGATCTCTCGGTCACTTGATCCCCTTATTGGGACCTCCGTACAATCAAATTCAATGAGGAGGAACAATGGTGTTACTAACTTAACTCCGGTGATTCACTTAAGAAACAAGGCAAAGAAAAGTCATAAAATGGGGCAAAGCTCACTTCACAAATGTCTCACTTAGCAACATAAACTTTGGGCTCAATTGTGGCCGTAAATCGAGGACTACCTGCATTGTGTGTGTGTGTGTGTGTGTGTGTGTGTGTGTGTGTGTGTGTCACTCTGGTCTATTAAGAGAGGAGCCATTCATTCCAATGGACAGTAACTTTCTGGGTTGAATTTATATTTACCAGCAAAGAAATAAAGGGAGATTACTGTAGTATATTGATCTATTTCAAGCTATTTAGCTCTCGCCAGCTAGCCGGGTTCGAATCCCAGAAGGGGATGGCTAGCTGACGAGAGTTAAATAGCTTGAAAGAGATCAATATACTAGTCTCCTTTTATTTCTTTGTCGGTAAATATAAATTCAACCCAAAAATAGTTTGTCACGGAAGCAAACACTGTCACTGAAAGGCGAAAGCGGAAGTGGACCAGGTCGCCCTGATAGACCAGTCCCACCGGAGGAAAAAACTCTCGACCTACCTTTGGGTTGGGGGCTATTGGAGTCCTCCATGGACAGTTTCAGCTGCTGTATGAACTCCCCGCCATACACACTCCTCTCCTGCCAGATGTTCAGCAGCCGTTCCAAGGGCTTCTTGCATCCCTCGTCTGCCTCCCTGGAAGATGGGGGGGGAAAGGGCAAAGCTTAAAAAGCAGGAACAGGAAACGGGGATGCCGGTGGCAAGGGGCACCATAGTCTCCTAGGGCTGGAAGGGACCTTGGAGGTCTTCTAGTCCGACACCACCACGGCCAAGGGTGTGGGTGCCTATTCTGCTCATCTTCCACACCCTTTGTCAACTCTGAAGCTGGCCTGACCGAGGCCATCTTGGAGGCTTCAGTGTTACCACACTGGAGCTGAGAGAGAGGGAGGGAGGGAGGGGGGAATAAGGGAGAGCTGGGATTTTGTAGCCAAAGCAAAATAGTTTTCCCCTGAGAACCAAGGACATTCCCACAGGTGGTCAGAGAGAGGAGGAGTGAAGTTTCCAAACAACCGGACGGCACCTTGATTGGACCGTGGGACTGAATTGTTTGGGGAAGGGAGGAAAACTTTTACTTTTAATTAGGTAAAAACCGTGGGAACCTTTAAAGTCGGTTTTCACCAGCCTGTGCCAATAAGATCTCGGAGTTCCGTGTGCTACGGGTGTATTCCTTGGAACCCTGACACCCTGGTGAGGGGCACAGCGGCTAGGAAGTCTCCGCCAGCCAAGAGGAGTGGCCTTTGTACACCTGCTTTTATTCCTTTATTTAGTGCAGGGGTGGGCTTGGCTGTCTCAGGGATTCTGGGAGTTGAAGTCCACAGGTTATCAAAGGGCCACATTTGCCCACCCCTGATTTAGTGTATGACAAATTCAGCATAGAGGTACTCCTCGGCTTACGGCTATAATGGAGCCTCTTGCTAAGTGAGAAAAGCGAGTTTTGCCCCCATTTTACGACTTTTCCCGCCACGTTTGTTAAGCGAATCACCGCAGTTCTTAAATTAGTAACACGGTTATTAAGTGAGCTTGGCTTCCCCACTGACTTTGCTTGTCAGGAGGTCACAAAAGGGGATCACGTGACTCCGGGACACTGTGACCGCCGTAAATACGAGTCAGTTGCCAGGAGTCAGAATTTCGAACACGTGACACACACACACCCCATTGTGATCATGTTGCAATGGTCATTAAGTGTGAAAACTGGTCCTAAGTCACTTTTTTGAGTGCCGTTGTAACTTCAAACGGTCACTAAATGAACATAAGTTAAAATGTAGCGTATTTTGCATAAGTACACCTGCTAGGATTGACAGACGTCTGGCTTTTTTAAAAGAATCAGGGCTTTCAAAAGTGCAAGGCTCTCTAATCAGCTGAGAAAGAAATTAAATACAGGTAGCCCTCGACCTACAACGGTTCGTTTAGTGACCGTTCAAAGTTACAACGGCACTGAAAAAAGGGACTTAGGACTGTTTTTCACACTTACGACCGTTGCAGCATCCCGGTGGCCACGTGATCAAAATTCAGACGCTTAGCAACTGACTCACAGTTACGACGGTTGCTGTGTTCCGGGGATCACGTGATCCCCTTTTGCAACCTTCGGACAAGCAAAGTCAACGGGGAAGCTGAATTTCACTTAACGACCGTGTGACTCACTTTTTTTTTTTTTTTTTAAATTTGATTTATATGCCGCCCTTCTCCGGAGACTCGGGGCGGCTTACAATGCGTTAAGCAATAGCCTTCATCCTCTTTGTATATTTATACAAAATCAGCTTATTGCCCCCACAATCCGGGTCCTCATTTTACCTACCTTAGAAAGGATGGAAGGCTGAGTCGACTTTGAGCCTTGGAGAGATTCGAACTTACAGTAATTGCAGACAGCTGGTGTTAATCACAATGCTATCAGTCTGCTGAGCCACCAGGCCCATTGTTCACTTAACAACTGAAGAGATTTACTTAACAACCGTGTTGCTAACTTAACAACTGCAGGGGCTCATGAAAAATATGGGAGGAAATCTCTGTAAAATGGGGCTAAGCTCACTCAACAAATGTCTCGTTTAGCAGCAGCAATTTTGGGCTCCATTGTGGCCGTAAGTCGAGGACCGACTGTAAATGTGCAGCCCACTTCCCCACCCCAGACTCTTCCCGATGCCTCGGGCAACGTCCATCCTCAGCCCAAGTGGCCTGCCATTCACACCCATCTGGAGGGCACCCGCTTGGGGAAGCGCCTTCCAGAACCTGCTTTTCCTAATCTTTTTTCCCTCTGTGCTCTAGATAGCATCCTTCTTGAAGGCGGAAGGCCTTCTCTAAATAATGTCACACAGTCTTTAACTAGCTCGTAATATATTAGCTGCCAGGAAAGAACACGGAGCGCTCGGTTTATAGCTTGCCCCACAGTGAGGGAACAGTCACCCAGTGACAGATGGAACGAGCCAAGCAGAAAGACAATCTGGAGAGGAGAGAGAGAGAGAGAGAGAGAGAAGGAAAAAAAAGAAAAATATCTGATAAATCCCCAACACTTGGGATGCTGACCTCACTTAAAAGCCTGTTCAGATACAACCGAGGCGTGCGGAATAACTAACAACTACACAAAACTGCCAACTGGGATCTGAAGGAGGAGTACGGATATTTTTAAAGGGGATTATTGGCGCTGCCAGCCGGCTGGCCGTTGTTTTGGATTCTCCAAGGAGGAGGAGGAGGAGGAGGCAAATTTGCTGGGATCTGAAAATATCTGGAAAGGGGAAACGCCAGGAAATCAAAGCAAGGTTGTGTGAAGCAAGGCCTTTCGTGACACCTGGCCATTGTGTGGGCATGAGAGGCTTTAGCAGCTGCGTTGTTGATTTGTTGTCTTCCAGTGGATTCTTATTTTCCCTCCGTCAAATAAATGTTTTTCCCCCTTCTCTCTTGCAATTTGTCACATGGATTGCTTTGCATCACAAAGAATGAAGCTATAAATACTCCGTGACATCGTCTGAACGGGCAGCGGCCCACTGCGCCGTTCCCAGGAAAAGAATTGCAACTGGGATGCAGTCACTCACCATCTAAACTAGAACTCACCCTCTCCTGGTGACTGGCCCAAAATCAGCCAGCTGGCTTGGATGCTTAAAGGCGGGGAGTGAAACTCATCGTCTCCTGGTGATTGGCTCAAAGTCACCCAATTGGCTTTCATGCCTAAAACTGGACTTCTCCTGGTGATTGGTCCAAAGTCACCCAGCTGGCTTTCATGCCTAAGGCAGAACTAGAACTCCCTATCTCCTGGTGATTGGTCCAAAGTCATCCAATTGGCTTTCATGCCTAAGGCAGAACTAGAACTCACCGTCAGGGTGAATAAAAATCAATAATTTTTTTAAAAAAATCAAAAAAAAAAATCAGATTTTTTTTTATTTAAATCAGATTTTTTTGATTTTTATCCAATTTATTTTAATAAAAAACTTTGGGGGTAAAAATCTATGGTAAGATAGTTTTCTATTTAAGATACATAAATAATTGAGTTTATTCAGCATGAAATGGAGCTTAGTTATGTAGCACAAGGCTGTATATTCTGCAACACTGGGACTATCGGTGAGTCAACAGTGGGTCAAAGGAGTAGCAGAGATGACAGTTGCTCTTTAAAAATTGTGATTTAAATCGAGTTGATTTAAATCAAGCCTTTTTACTAGTGATTTAAATCATGATTTAAATTGTGATTTAAATCAACTCGATTTAAATCAAATCCACCCTGCTCACCGTCTCCTGGTTTCTAGGCCAGCACCTTAACCACTTGCACTTAATTGAAGTTGGGAAGGAAAAGGGCTTTAATCTAAAATGTAGAAAACATAGAAAGATGGGAAACAAAATGGCAGAAAAAGACCTAGTGGTCCATGAAGTCTGCTGTTTGAATTTTTTACTTCTAATTTAAAAAAAAAATTGTTACCTACTGGACAAGTGTTTATCCCAAGTACACACAAGTACAGTGGTACCTTGGGGCTCAACTGCTTTGAAACTCATCGAATTTGGTACTCAATTCCTTTTTCACATGAAAATGTTGTCCTGGTGCCCATCGTTTGTTTGATACTCAAAGCACAAGCTAGAACTTGTTTCATGACTCACTACATTATTCCTAATGGGAAAAATCTGATTGGTACTAATCGTTTTTGGTATTCATCGCGCCTTCCGGAATTAATTAACCATGAGATCTGAGGTACCAGTGTATGTTTAAACCAGGGGTCCTCAAACTATGGCCTGCGGGTCAGATGTGGCCCGCTGAAGCCATTAATCTGGCCTGTGCTGGACCACGAGGCTGCCCTGCCCACATCACCCCGTCTACCTGCCGGCCCCCACCCACCTTCTGGAGGCCTCGGGTGGCCAAAAACGAGCCCAGGTTTGGCCTCCCCAGCCGAGAGGGGGTGGGGGGAGGGGGACACACACACAAACAGAAATCCCTCATACACACCCCAAGGCAGCCACATCCCTTCACTAACCTGCTTTCCACCCTCAGGAGCATAACAAATTAAAGTTTAATTTGTGTGTATTGTTTGGACTGTAAATTGGCCACGCCCACCCAGTCACATGACCACCTATCTACATCCACCCAGTCAGATGACCACCTAGCCACGCCCACCCAGCTGGTCTGGCCCCCCCAACAGTCTGAGGGACCGTGAATTGGCCCCCCGTTTAAAAAGTTTGAGGACCCCTGGTTTAAACTGAGTTACTGACGACTGACTCACTACCTCTTGTCTGAAGTGGTACAGGGTCTCTCCTGTCTGAGCAGGGGGTTGGACTAGAAGACCTCCAAGGTCCCTTCCAACCCTGTTATTCTGTTACCTGGACTGGAAGAAGGGGCTTCCAAGCTTCCGCCACTATTTCTGGGAAGGCATCCTTTCTAACATGACTGCTGAACTTCCCCTGCTGTCACTCAGAGGCAATGCCTCCCATTTTCCTCTAGTCAGGTGCATTTTGTGAGATCCTGTGCAGAGAGCACACCCACTCCCATACACACACACACACACACACACACCAAAACCTGCCATCTTACACTGTCATTGCAGTCTGACAAAAGGTGGCAGATGCCACGAGAAACAGAGCAAGACCACTTACATGCGCGCACGCAAGTACACAAACACACACTGGGCTTTTTTTCAGGAGGCAACTGGACTTTCTTGTTTTTCTTTGAAGATGTTTCGCTTCTCATCCAAGAAGCTTCTTCAGTTCTGACTGGATGGTGGGGATGTCTTCAACAGTGAGGAGACACAGGATAGAAAACAGCCTGCAGCCAAGAAGGCTCCACACCCATTTGCACCACTCAGGTGACCCTGAGGACACAGATAAACTTCCGAGTGGCCTCAAGGACCCTCTAAAAGGATGCCAATGACCAGCTGCCTGCAAGGAGCATAAATCCTTCCCTTCCCCACCATTCAGTCAGAGCTGAAGAAGCTTCTTGGATGAGAAGTGAAATGTCTTCAAAAGAAGGAAAAACAAGAAAAAAAGCACCTTTGGGACAACCGTGACTTGGATGACGGAGAATCTCTACAGACTTTTAGCTATACAATTTGGAATGAACATCCTTTGAATGGTGTGGGAGGAGGAATGGATTTCCAGAGGAAAAAATTGCAGACTACAGGAACCATTTGCATCACTCAGGTGACCCTGAAGACACAGGTAAACCTCCAAGTGCTTCAACGACCCTCTTAAAAAGAATGCCAATGACCAGCTGTCTGCAAGGAATATAAATCCTTCCATTTCTCCACCATCCAGTCAGAGCTGAAGAAGCTGCTTGGATGAGAAGCGAAACGTCTTCAAAGAAAAAGTTGCCTCTTGGAAAAAAATACACAGAACAGACAAGGAAAGAAGGCGTTGTACCTACCTGGCCACGTGTGAAAAAGCATCCACGAGCACCGATTCAAATTCCTTTGTAAACTCGGGTCCCTTCTTTTTACTGTTCTGGATGACATCGTTCGCCAAGTATAGGAAAGTCAGTTTCCTACTTGATTTGGCTGGCAAAGGAAAGAGAAAAACAATATTTAGATAACGTGGCATTGGAACCACCCCTCAGATTTTCGTATTTGCATGTGTTTGGAAGCTGGGATACACACACACACACACATACACACCCCATATATGTGTATATACACCATGGCGTATTGATCTCCTGCCTGGAATCTGATAAAGGAGAGGGCCTAGAATGCATCCACATTGAGGGGACAGAAAAATAATCTCATAAACAGACTGCCTTGTGGCTTTGATTTAAGCAAGGTCTCCGAAGGGAATGGCAAATCTGTCTGAGAATGTGATCTGCTGCAGTTGGAGTGCCACTACAGAGAGTCAAGAACTAAAAAAGATAACCAGATGTCATAACAGTATTTATTTATTTACGATATTTATATGCTCCCCAAATCTGCGAACACGAATTTTTAAAACCACAATTATGAGAACGGCGGGTTGTCCTTCAGTTTGCAATCATTCATTTACTGACCTTTCAAAGTTACAATAGCAACAGGGGACAAAAGTGATTTACAAATACTCCTCACAGGTACAACCATTGCGGCATCCCAAGGGTGACATATAATCAGAATTCAGGTGCTCGCTTGGCAACGCTGCAGGTATTTACGATGGCTGCGGTGTCACAGGATCCCCGTCTGCAACTGTGTCAGCCAGCTTCCAACAAGCAAAGGCAATGGGGGAAGCCAGATTCGCTTAATGACAACACGATTCATTTAACAACTCGCTTAAAAAACCCCTATACCACCTCTGAGGGCCACTTGCAATGAAACCAAAAGGCCCCTGGAATACGAGAAATTTTGTTTGTTTCTGAACCCAAGCAGGATAGGAACCATGCAGGGAGGGGGGGGAGGGCATCTTAAAGAGGGTGGGGGCTGCCACAAAGAAGGTCACCCAGTCGGTGTCCGTAATTTTTTTTTTCCTTGAGGGTGGGTGGGGGAATGACTATTAACTGACCGTGTCTCGATATCCTAACTCAAATTTAATAAGAGGTTTGGACTTCAACTCCCAGAATTCCCCAGCCAGATCCTTGTGTGTGTGTGTGTGTGTGTGTATGTGTGTTTGGCCAGCTGCATCAACAGAGAGATAGAATCAAGATTACAAAAAGTGATAGCACCATTTTTTAATACTTTGCTAAGACCATCCTTGGAATCCTGCATCCAGGTTTGGTCGCCACAATATAAAAACGATGTTAAGACTCTGGAACGAGGGCAGAGAAGAGCAACCAAGAGGATTAGAGGGCTGGGGGCTAAAACGTAGGATTTGGGTATAGTCTAACAAAGAGAAGGACTAGGGGAGACATAATAGCAGTCTTCCACTGTTTGAGGGCCGCCACAGAGAGGAGGGGGTCCACCTCTTCTCCAAAGCCTCTGAAGGCAGGACAAGAAGCAACGGGTGGAAACTAATCAAGGAGAGAAACAATCTGGAACTCAGAAGAAATTTCCTGACAGTGAGAATAATTAACCAGTGGAACACCTTGCCACCAGAAGTTGTGGGTGCTCCATCACTGGAGGGTTTTAAGAAAAGACATTTGTCCAGAATGGCATAGGGTCTCTTGTTCAAGCAGGGGGTTGGACTGGAAGACCTCCAAGGTGCCTTCCAACTCTGTTATTCTAACATTACCACTGAAGGGTCCTAACCCAAAAAACGCCATGGAATTTCTAGAAGCCTGGCCCTCTGACAAATCAGCCATCAACAGACACATAGACATTAACAACGTCTATAGACTATGCAGAGGCCAAAAGAGGAGAAAAAGACCCCAGCACCTCCCCGCCAGCGCTCAGATCAGCACAGATTACGGTATTTTTCGGAATATAAGATGCAGTTTTTCCCCCCTAAAAGAGGGTGAAAATTTGGGTGCGTCTTATACCACGAATGTAGCCCTGCCCACCCGCTGGCCCCCCACCCTTTGGCCTCTGCCTCCCAGCGATTTACCTCCTTGCAGCAAATAGCCCATTTCAGCTTCAGCACAATCTGATTAGCACAAGCAGCTGATTGTCCTTGGATCGGCCTCCCGACCATCAGCTGTTTCAGGCTGCAGGGACTGCCATTGCCTATTGGCGCCTCTGTGCAACCCATTTTGCAGTTTGCTGCAAGGAGGCAAATTGCTGGGAGGCAGAGGCAGATTTTTTTTCTTGTTTTCCTCCCCAAAAAAGGTAGGTGTGCCTTATACTCTGAAAAATACGGTAACTCCAAGGTCAACTTCAGACCAACAATCAAGTCAACAATATCCCAATCAAGAAACTGCCAAAGAGCCCATCAAAAGAATATCTAAGACCACCCCCACCGACAGAGGCAGGCAAGCCACTAGAATATAAATTGACAGCAAATCACACTCCTTACTAGCACTGATGATGTTCCCCAGTTGGGTCATGAAATGTCTGCAAGAAAACCATCGAGCTCAGAGAGCACCGAGGACCCCACCATCCTCCTCCTCTTCCTCCCCACAAATGCCACTCCCTCCTATCACTGATGATGTTCCCCAGTTGGGTCATGAAACGTCTGCAAGAAAACAGCCAAGCTCAGAGAGCACAAGGGACCCCACAGTCCTCCTCCTCTTCCTCCTCCACATCCTCCTTTCCAAAACCCCACTCCCTTCAAGCACTGACGTTGTTACCTAGTTGGGTCATGAAACGTCTGCAAGAAAACTATCAAGCTCAGAGAGCACAAGGGACCCCACCGTTCAACCCTGAGCTACAAATCGTCTCTCTCTGCCTTTTTTGCCTTTTTTGTTAAAGCAAAGCCTTGGATTATTCCTGACCTTCTTTAAAAAAAATAACATATTGGAGCTCCAGGTAGGGAGAAGCGGCCCTTTCTTTGCTGTGCTTGTGGCTGGAGCGTGGGAATTGCAGCATCTGGGCTGCGTTCTTTCGACAGCGGCCGCTCTTTGTAAGACGGACACACACAGTGTTAAAAATCTTTTAAAAGCCGACCAAAAGCAGGTTAACAGACAAAGGGGGGGGGGGAAGAGGGGCTGCTCTTCAGCACCCTAAAGGAGAGAGAGAGAGAGAGAGAGAGCTGCAGGGGAGCCACTGCGGGGGGCCGACAGGACTGGTGTTGTGAATTCACAAGGAGGCCATTCAAGCGGAGGAGGAGCTCAGCACCAGCTCGGCAGGGCAGAGTGGCAATCCAGCCGAAACCCCCAACTGAGGAGGGCCTGGCTAAAGCCTCTTGGTTGGCCCACAAGAGTGGCAAGATGGGCAGCTAATACATTTTACGATAAATGAATGAATGAATGAATGAATAAAACAGATATAACAGATGTAACCGATATAACAGGATTAATAGAGTTGGAAGGGACCTTGTAGGTCATCTAGTCCAACCCCCCCACCCAAGCAGACCCTACGCCATTTCTGACAGCTGGCATAAAAAATAAAATAAAATAAAATAAAATAATAAAATAAAATAAAATAAAATAAAATAAAATAAAATAAAATAAAATAAAATAAAATAAAATAAAATAGCAGAAAGCTTGTTCCCTTTACTCTCGTACAGGTAGTCCTCAACTTACAGCCATTCATTTAGTGACCAGTCAAAGTTACAACAGAAGTGGAAAAAATGAGTTATGACCAGTTTTCACACTTACAGCCGTTGCAGCAGCCCCACAGTCACGTGATCAAAATTCAGCCGCTTGACAACGACTCATATTTATGACGGTTGCAGTGTCCCTGGTGTCCTGTGGTCCCCTCTGGAGACCTTCTGGCGAGAAAGGTCAATGGGGAAAGCCAGATTCACTTAATAACCGTGTTACCAACTTAATAACTGCGGTGATTCACTGAACAGCGCTGTCAAAAACTCACTTAGCAACTGTCTCGCTTAGCGATGGAAATTCTGGGCTCAATTGTGGTCGCCAAGTCGAGGACTACCAGTAAAAGCATCTTAAGGAAAAATCCGGGACAACCATTGCAAGCAACACACCCGGCAGGCTGCACCAAACCCCCACAGCCCTTTGTGGCCAGTGGCAAAAAACCCACCGAAGGTTTTCCAAAATGCCACCCATCCCACTGGCAGAGCAAGAGAGAGAAACTTCAAGCAGCGGCCCCTCTTGGCTTCCCTTTTAGGCTTGACCGGCTCAGCTCAAGGAGGTCAGAAGAACCGGACTGGTCCTTGCCAGGCCCCGCTGGCCACATTTAAGGCCCTGAAAGTCCAGAGTGCCAGCCTCCTCCCTCAACGCAAGCATCGCCCACAAGGAGCCCTGGGCCCGGAGCAGAGCAGAGGCTTTGAGGCGTCAGGACCGAATGCTGCGTTCCGGAAAGGAGGCCTCTACCAAAACTATTATTTAACACAGAAACTGGGTGCGTTATATCTAGAACTATCTAGATCAGCCAACTCTTCAGACTACCCCACGGGGCAGGTTGTGCAGCAAAGAACTGATATTTGTTGCTCAGGGCCTTGGTGCTCTCTGAGCTTATTTACGCAACTAGATAACATCTTTACTGCTAGAAGGGAGGGTGGGGGGGAGGAGGAAGAGGAGGAGGAGGAGGAGGAGGAGGAGGAGGAGGAGGAGGAGGGTTGGGGGCTCCTTATTGCCCTTTGAACTTGGCCGTTTCTTTCCAGGCGTTTCATGAGGCCCTAGGGAAGACCCTCAGTGCTAGTCTCACCCCTCCTCCTCTCTGCAAGCCCCTCAACGTTACCCGGTTGGGTAATGAAATGTCTGCAAGAAAACCACCAACTCAGAAAGCACCAAGGACTTCACAGTCATCCTCTTCCCCGTTCCCTTCTAGCCCTGATGATGTTGCCTAGTTGGGTCATGAAACGTCTGCAAGAAAAGAACCCAGCTCACAGAGCACGGAGCAGCCCACAGTTCAAATGTCCCCTCCTTTTGGTCTATATTTATGCTGGCTTTGCTTTGGGACAGTGCCTGAAGCTCTGTACTGGGTCAGCCTGACCCTCTCTCCCTGCCTGCCTTTCTATGAATAATCCTGCCCACCTGGCCTTCTTCCCATAGATCCTCCTTCCCCTGTTCTGACCACAACGCTTCGTTGCTGTTTGGGTG